TCGATCCACATTCTTAAAAGAAACAAACCAGACATAACATTTTAGGCAGTGATCTTAACAAAGATGACAAAATAGACTTTTAAACTGAAAAATTATTGTTACAGCTTTTGATGTACAGGGACAAAAAAACAGGAGAATATTAGTTTACACATGCTTAATGTAAAAGAAAATCAGTAAGAACAACAAGTCACACATTACCTGTGCGGGTGAGGAGAAAGTGAAGTTTGTATTCCACCCAGCTGATATTTTCAAGTCTGCTTAAACAAATAAAAACGATTAAAAACTAATTTAGAGATACATATGCTAGTCTATCAGTACCCGATATAAACCAACATGCTTTTCAAATCAAGATCCTTCAGTGTAAATCATTTACTACCAGCTGTCGTGACTGTTGAACTCTGCAGTTTGAGTTGAATTGAATTGTCTTTCACTGCCATGTTGCCACAACAGGGGAGGAGGAGGAGGAGGAGGCAGATCCACTGATATGGCTCTTTAAAATCTATGAAATACCACACTGCCCATACATACAGTACATACCACTGGGAATGGCAGCTGCATCGTCAACGGTCCATGGAAGTTGAACCAGAGTGGGACTCAGACTGTCCTCAGCTCGTCCAGTCCCAATTTGACCTTTGACCCCATTGCCAAAAGCCCATAGCTGGCCAGAGGAGCCCAAAACCAGAGTGTGACACCTGGGAAACAATTAGGACTTTGCTAAGAATCCTGATATAATATATCCTACGAAGTAATGATAAATGACTAGTTCTACTAATACTTTCTTTATTTAGAGCTTCTCCAACTGACTATAAACATGATCTTAAAATTGTGCCAAAATTAATTAAGCCTATGTTAAATAAAATGCAGTTTCAGTGTGCAGATAAGCAAACTCCTCATTTTTACCGGCCACATGCAATCTGGGAGGCGGGTCCGTCCAGACCGTCGACCAGTCTGGGTCTCACTTCATTAGCAGCTGAGTTGTGACCGAGCTGACCGTGGCTTCCCTCTCCAAACGTGAAAACCTTACCATCCTGGAAATCACAGCATCACGTAACATCACAAGAGGAAATGCATCAGACTAATTTTCTTTACAATGTGATAATTAATAAAGTTTGTACCTTCGCTAACACAGCAGTATGCGCCTGTCCACAGCTTATGAAGGAGACACCCAGAGGACTGAGGGCAGGTACCATACAGATGTTAAACCTGCCTGTTAGCGATGGAAAGAAATGCTTATTTCAAATTGATAATAACATGTAAAACAGCTATGCTAAATAAAATACTAATTATAACTTGAATTTTTGACACTTGATCAAATAAAATGCATAATAAGGACCCTGGTTTTTCCTCTGATGTGTTACCATTAAATTTGAGTCTCACAGCTAAGAATCTTTTTTTTCCTGAAAAATAAATAACTGACGAAACTTCCAGGATTTCCAGGAGTAAAATCATATTTTGTTCATTGCACAATAAACAGAAATATATCATTTTTGAATTTAAAAATCTTAGAAATCTTTTTTTTTTTTTTTTGCTTTTTGACTTGAATATAATGAATGAATGAATGAATTGGTGTGAGTTTTGTTTGACATAATAATTATTTTTATTTAGCCTAGCTGTTTTACATGTTGATTGACAAGCCTCAAAAACACAAGGAAAAAAAAAAGTTGAGTGACCCATAAGCTCCACTTTTATGGACAATCTGCTAAATGTGAACAGGTGAGTGTGTGACTGAGTTAAGGTAAATTATTAGTACCCTTCTCATCCACCCTGTTGAGTCCCAACTGGCCAGATTTATTGGCCCCACAGCAGTACACCAGGCCTGGGAGTGTGAGGAACAGAGTATGGGTCGCTCCGGCTGCAATCTGGGTCACTGCTACACCGGACAGAGCACACACCAGGACAGGTGTGTACTGCAGTGACACATTCTTCCCCAGACCCAGCTGACCATGACTGTTCAAACCCCATGAGAAGACGTCTCCACCTGCAAAGTGTAAAAGAGTGCAGAAATGATTGTTTTATCAAACTTTAGCGTCCCCAGCAGTGGTAAAACCACGCAAAAAATGCTCCCACACTGCTGACTTGAATGTGCCCAGTGGGGCAGCAATCTCAGGGTTAAAAAGTTGACTGTTGACTGGAATATTACAGCCTTGATTTGTTGAAGCTGTCAGTGGTAAAATATTAACTTGTACTTTATTACGTCTGCAGGGAACTGGAAACTAGATTTGACACAGTGACATACGAAAATAAACATAAATCATTATTACATTAGATATGAATAAACTTTACAAGCTGTGAAACTGGAGTTGGCACAAAGACACAATGATGTCATCAGTTTGTTCAGTGTCTTACCTTTAGTCAGTGCCAGAGAGTGGGAGTTTCCACAGGCAACTTGAATCACTGGTACTGGCAATGGTATGGGCACCTGACTGCAAGTTGATTTGACAGTTAAAAAAAAAAGCTTAACCTTAAACCCTGCCATCCACTAACTTTCAGTGGTAACTATGCATATTCATGTATTCCAGAGACTAAGATCTTGCCTTGGTCTGAAATTGTTGCACGATGGATTTATCCCCAGTTGTCCATCCTCTGCGGCCCCCCAGGAGAACACCTTTCCAGATGCACACACAGCCAGACAGTGGTCCTGACCACATGCCATCGTCACCACATCACCCAGCCCCTCCACACGACCTTACACAGGAGACAGATTGAGATTCACACACAAATACACACACTACACATAAATATAACAACTTAAATCCAATACTCTACTAACCTGCCTAAACTGTTGTCTTCTAAGCTATAATGAAGAGAAACTATTTATGTCTTGCAAATAAAAGCCTGTTGATAGTGTTTACTGCTTATTTACAGTGGTGGGGTACTGTACATTTTATTTTCATTTTATGTTACTTTATATTTCTGCTCCAATTAATTAATTTGATAGCTATAGTGTCTAGTTAATTTCATTTTAAGATTTCAAATGATGCATTGTTGTTGATTAAACTATCCAGCACCAGTACATAAAATAGTTGAAATTAGCTTCAGTTCGACCTGCAACAAAATGCTGCTTGCTCATTATAACATCAAAAATAACAATCCAATAATACAATGTACTAAATATAATAATATAATGCTTAAATAGGCCATTCTGCATAATAAGTACTTTAATTTTGAAAGTTTAACTATGTTTGCTGATAATAAACTAATTAACTTGTATTTAAGTGTCTAAATGCTTATGTAACCATTATTGCTTTAAATGTATTTACTGTATTCACTAGTTATTTATATTTTGCAGTTCATCAGACTAAACATGAAACCTAAGCATCATATCCAAAGCGTGAACGCAACACTGAGCTAAAAGTCCAACTTCCCCACCGCCACTTGAACTCAACGCAAAATGAAGTTCAGCTCCCAGTTAACTTTCGTGTCATGTTCTGACAGCAGGGAAACGAAACTGAAAGGTAGCTCATTTAATTAGCCTGCGTTACGTCTGTGGCAGTCACTCCATGGACGCCATAAACTCAGAAGAAGTATATTTGTCTATGCCATAGACACTAGGCTGTCAGCCATAGACGATACATGTGTTTTTCTTAAAATAAAACTGTCTTGACAGAGTGATGAATAAGAAACAAAGAACCAGATAATCCCGCAGTTACATTACACAGTCGCTAAACGATCATTAAACAGTAAAAAAAAAAAAAAAAAAAAAAAAAAAAAAAAACACGTAATGTTAAATAAAACCTATGTCCGCTTTTAATGTTAGGACCTATAGGTTACTTTCACTGACAGAAAGACTATAATCCTACTAAGTATCACATCACATGAATATTTTCTTATGTCCATTATTCTGCTGCCTCTGAAATATAAACACCATCATTACTTACCAGGTGTCTTTCCATCTTTGCATTTCTTTCGTCCAAGTTGTCCCTGCGAGTTTTTTCCACATGACAAAACGCCTCCATCCCTGGTGAGGAATAAAGTGTGCTGGTCCCCGCAGAAGATATTGGTTATAACCCCGGAGACAGTCCAGGACACCGGACTGAGGGCTGTCGCTGGACCGAACTGTCCACTGGAGCTGTCTCCCCAACAGTGCAGCTGCACCATGTTTTCACCTGGACCGAAATGATCAGTGTACATTACAGCCTCTGTTGTGGCAATTTATCTCAGCTGACGCTGCCTTCAAGTGCTGTCGGAGGTTTCACAATATTGAATTGAACCACTCATTATTTGAGTGTATCGTACTATATAGCACTTTTGGAAGAGTTAATATGTCGAACACAATTTCTAAGTTTGTTGGTTACAGTTTGTCATTTACTTTTGAGTAAAACCAAGCAAGCACAACCAACAGTGGGAATGGATAGAAGTAGAATTTACGAGCTTACCAGGAGACATGACGGCAGCATGAGAGCTAAGCGGAGCAAATGTTTGTGCTACAGAACTTGATATCAATCAGTTTGTTACTCACTCACTCAAAATGTCGTAAATACAGTATCTGCAATAAGAATAGATGCGAGTTTCTTGTGTTTAGAGTGAACTGACTCAAATGAACAAACCTTTTCATCGGTAAAAGCCCGGGACTTTGTTTTTTTTCTAAGAGAGTACAGGCAAGAGTACAGTAAATCTTACAAATACAAAATGTGACGTACACATGCAAGATTGACATTGCTTTTTAATACAGACACAAATAAGGCATTTATACCAAATTCTCTTATTCCAGATACATATGCCAATATCCTCTCTGCCTTAAACTGTAGATGTGGTAGGAATAGATCAGATATTGGGTTTGGTTTCACAGAAATGAAACTAAGTGTTTCTGCAGAGGTGTGTCATCAAAACAATTTCAGACTAAATGAAACTAAAACAAATGATTATGCAGTAATAGAAAGAGGTGTGCCCCACAAGTGTAAGAAATAAATGATACTTGCAGTATATATATTTTATTTTATATATAGTATATATATATATATATATATATATACAGTATACATATATAAAACTATTTCTAATGTCTATCACATCTGTTGCTTTTCACATTGTTCTGTCAAATGTATCATCTCTAGCTATACATTTTAAAAACAAAATCCCTGTTGAACAGTATATAATACACTTAAGGCCATGTAATATTGGGGGTTGCTAGGGGTAACCAGCTGAATGGAGCTCTGTCAAAGGGGCATTGCCTCAACTCATCAATCAAATTTTTTCTGCACCTGACCAACTCCTTCCTGTTGAGCATGGCATCTGAAAAAGAATACACACCGACGGACCCGTCCTCAAAACCCACAAACACACACTGCTGCTTACACACAACCAAAGTCAATGGATTCTTAGATAGACGCACACTCCCTACTCTTTCCCCGTCCATTAGTCGACCGACTGTGAGGACGGGCCTCGCAAGCGGGTCACAGGCACAGGTTTTCTCCAGGCTGATGTAGGCAGCAAAACATCCAGTTTTGTCCAAGCAGGCTTTAATGACAGGGCCCTCGGCTTTGAATGAGCACAGCCTGACCTGAGACAGGTCCAAGAGGTTGATGGTGTCATTATCAGTGGACAGCAGTGCGTAGTTCCCATTTGAGGACATTTGGAAGTCTTGCGGCTGACATTGGAACGTATACGGCAGCTGAAAGTGCCTGCACACAGTCTCCTCTGCTACCTTCCAAGTGTAGACTGCCCCTGAGGCTACCATCACCACCACAAAGTCTGGGTGCTCTGACAGAGTGTGGAAAGCAACAACGTGCTCAGAGCTTTCGACACAGGAGAAACGCTTGCTGATGGAGCCTGACCACAGACTGGCAGCTATCAGGTCACCATGGCGACAGCCAATTAGGAAGGTGCTCTCAGGAGACACCGTGGCATTGGATAGGTACAGGTGTATGCTGCACACAATACTCCCATGTGCCAGCTTCCACACCTGAGACAACCCTCGCTTGGATATACTCACCCCAAAGTTACTATTAGGGGTGATTAGGATATCTGTAGCTCTGGTGCCACTGATACGCAAGATGTTCTGACCTGTTTCCATCTGCCAAACGTAAACTTCCCCTGCTGAGAGTGTCACAAGATGGATGTTATCTGGAGAAAGGCACAGTTTTTCCACAGGACCATCATGTAGGAAGTTAGCATGTGGAAAGCCTGTTTCCAAACTCCATCTCCACACTTTCTCTGACCCGTCTGAGGTGTAGAACCACTTCCCTGTTTGTTCGACCACCACATCCTTCACTCCACACCCTGTTTTCGGAGCTGTACCTGCAGCGCCTATCATCTCAGAGTCCCACACTGTCAGGCAGCCGTCACGAGCAACACAAATTACATCTGAGGCCATTTTGAGGAGTGTATGAGGCTGCTTGTTTGCTTCTAAGGAGAGGACGCACTCCCCTGTGCTGACCCTCCACACCAAGACAAGTGCATATGTGTCTAGCAAAGCCAGGAAAAGGTGGCCATCCTGGGAGAGCACAGCCTGGCTGAAGGCCCTCCCTTTAGGTGCCAAGAACTGGTCCCAGATCTCCCACTCACATGTATCCCACAGCATAACCTGATGAGACTGACACACCAATAACATTTCAGTTTCTTTTGAGTAATCTGTATTGAGGATGTTATCAGATTTACCCCCAGTAAATCTTTCCTTTACAAGTCTAGGTGGTTGTGTTTTGATTGCAACATCCCATACAGTTACATTCCCAGTCCTGTCAACACATGCCATTTCTCTCTTATCTTCACAGAGGATTATTGATGTAACTGCATTGTGGTTTGAGTTTGTGCAGCTGCCAAGCAGTCTGCTGGAGTCTGTGTCAAATATGGACACTGTGCCTTTCTCCTGCCCACAGTACATGTAAAATCCATTAGAGGAGCAAACCAAAAAGGTCACGGAGCTCTGACACTGGAAATGAGTGAAGGTCTCACTGGAGATGTTAAACACACTCACAAAACTCTCATCTTTCCACCACATAAACAGCTTTTTCTGACGTCCAACAAACCCCATAATTTCATTTAGTGTTTTTTGGCTTGACTTTTGTTCAAACTCTGTTTTCATAGGGTCTTTAAGCTCTAGTAACATCTCTGGGCCTGTCACATCCCATAAGAAAAGCTTGTTGCACTGCGTGGAAAGGAGCATGAATCGAGCGCTACTCTTCACTCCTGCAAACTTCAGCTCCTTCTGCTCACAGGTCAGTGACACTTTAACTACATCACATCCAGATCCCTTCCAAATCCAAACAGAGCCATCGTCCATGATCTCTGCTACAATCCCACAGTCTGTGTCTGCTGCTTCTAGCACAGAGACGTCCTTGGTTTTGGCATCGCACTTTAAACACTGAATGGGGGGAACAGAGGAAGGAGCAGGACAAAGAGCGACTCCTAATCCACTTCCTCTTTTCCTCCTCTCCTGTCTGATCTCTCTGACATAACCTTCGAGCACAGGAAAGACCTCCAGATAAGGGAGGAGGCTTGACTCCATCACCTTGGACAGCTGCAGAGGTGTGTGCTGCAGTAAGCAAGCAGAAGACTTCAACAAGCTTGCTAGGAGTTGTCTTTCTCTTAAAAACTGAAACTGTGATGACCCTTGGTCACTCTCCAACATGGTAACCAGATCTCCTAGAAGACCAGCTCGAACCATAGCCTGGTGAAACCTCAATGACATTAACAACCCGTGCTCCAACTCCTCCCACCTGCCACTTTGTTGCAAGTGATACGGCAATTCTACGACTTTCCTCAAATTCACCTGACCAGCATCTTTGGACAAAGAAGTGAAGACAAATGGCTGGCTGGATGGCTGCCTGTCTATGTATATTTTCGTTTGGACAGTGTCCTTGTTTGGACCTGGTTCCTGGTTAACAAGAAGTGGTTTAGCATTCCCACAAGCCCACTGGCCACTGAAATAATCCGCCATCTCCGAATGAATCTCCCTCCTCGCCTCATTAGTGCCTAAATACCTCTTAGCTACCACCAGCTTGAAATGCCTGCTGACCCAGAACAAAACACGTGACCTTACAAATGTCCTCCTGATGAGAAACCTCCTCAAATCCAAAAGAAGTCTCTCCACGTCAATTTGTGGCACCCTCATAGTGGAGGAGGGGCTCTCATTCTGCTGAATATACTCAGAGAGCACCTCATCATCGCTGGACAGGAGATCGTTGAGCTCAACCTCAGTGAGCCCAGTCCTGGAGAGGGTGAGGTAGGACACGGCACGAGCCACAATAGAGGAGCCATGTTTCTGTTCGAGGTGATTCAGGAGAGCAGATATGGACGCATGGATGCCATCGGGAAGAGATGACTCAGTCACATCTGAATCTGATAATGTGAAAAGAGAAGGGGAGAGGGTTTTGAAAGTTTAAGTCTGGTGATACTCTCAGACAATAAGAAAAATACAGAATTTAAGCACTCTGCTGAAACTGTATTTTTGTTTAATGTATCAGTCGTACCAGAGTACCAGAGCGAGGTATGCACATGCAGTAGTTGAGCATAGAGAGTCAGACAACAGGAAGTCAGCGCCTGGTTCACCAGAGCCTGTTGTCCTGATGTCACCCTCCTTCCTGAACTGATCAGCAGCGACGCCAACATCTTCACACACGCTTTCCTGTCCACCAATCCCAACTGTACACAAACATATCCTGACTCCTTCTCACTGCCCTTTGGTACACAGCGAGGCGGACTGCATTGTGGGTATTGTAGTTTGATGGACTGCAGGATGTCTGCTCCGCTGGAGGAGACTGTGAGGATTAGTTTGGCACCAAGAGGAAGGGGGGAGGGGAGGCTCTCAATGATTTGAGGGCAAATAAAGTTGTTTTCGATTTGGTCGAGGCCGTCAAGGATTAGAACTAGAGGCTGTTTGGGAGAAGGCAGAAGGGAGAGGAGGGAGGAAAGATGTTCTTTAAGCTCAGACAGACTAATGTCAGGTTTTATGATGTCAGAATGAGGTCCTCTAGGATTTGGGCATTGTATGGTAGAAAGGTTTAGGTTAGAGTCAGAGACTTTCTCTCTGGTGGTGGGTTCATGGTGAGAATCCAGAGCAGATACTGGGCTACAGTTGGATTTGTAGTCTCTGGGGTGAGTGATGCAGCTAAGATCATCCGGGTCCTTGCCAAGGTAGAAGATGGGACCCTGCTTAGGGGAGGAGTCGCTGTGATATCTCCTGGCTATTTGATAACACAGGCTGGACAACAGGTGCTTTGGGGAAAGCACCTGCTGGTTGCAAATATAAGGGATCACCACAGGATCAGTGTCTGGTAGCCACGACTTCATCTGTGGAGAGAGACAGAGAGACAGGAGACTTATGGAGACTCTGGAGGGACTCATATCTAATATGAATACAACTTATATTTAAATGTTGTATAAAAACAACAAGAGAAGGACATGTCAATTTAATGGAACTGAGTTAAACATGTCACTACAGTTCACTTACCTGTTGAGCACAGTGCGCCAGCAGAACTGTCTTCCCTGTGCATGGTCCTCCTGTCACCACTAGGGGGCAGTGTTGGTCACTCTGTTCTACATAGGCTCTGATCTACAACCAACGAAAGTATACCTCAGTGATGCTATGATGCAAATAACAATGTCAGTGTAGTGGAAGATTTTTAGTGTGATTGTATTTGTAACTTGTCTTCTTATTGTAATGGGAAAATGTAATCCATCATATGTGTGCTCTCATGTAACCTCATTTTAACCACTTTGTTGATAAGCTGTCCCAGTTACAGCTGGACTGCCCTTGGCGGTGGTAAAGGCCTGAAACCACCAACTGCCAGCACATCCTCATCCTACACTATCTAGACCAAAGCCAGTTAAAAATCAAAATATTTCATGCTGTTTTTTTGTCTTTAGAAACCATCCAGAAAAACCACTTTATCCTCACCTCTTCCTCTTCGGGCCGAATGATGCCATAGAGACGGGACAGGGTGTAACACAGCTCCTCCTGTTCAGCCTGCTCTCGGGCCAAAGCATCACCAAGCTGAAACTCCTCTCTGACATCTAACATGTTCCAGCTGTCAATCAACCCCACGAGGTCAGAGTACACCTGCTGGCACAGAGACATGGCATAGCCTCTCCTCCTGGCTGTTGTGTAACCATGGCGATGGTCACACTCTGTGGTGGAGGTGTAGACTAGAAGCCGACGGGAAGTGATCAGACCAGGGAGGAAGTTGTCACAAAGCTCTGAGAATAACTGTCCGTCAGTGGGTGCTGTCTTTAGGTCAGAGGTGGCAGCCTTAAAAAAATAAATAAAATTCACTTTTGATACAATCTCAACCTTAATTAATTAAAGAACGCATTTCATATTTAGCCACTTCTATTATACAACAAAAAATATTTCTAAAACAATTTCCAAAACATGAAGTTAATAGGTTTTATAATAAATGATAGCAATAGATTTTGTGCCATATACTGTATGGTAAATAAACTTATTACTATTACTATTATTTAATATATAGCATTCACTTTGACTTTGTCAAATTCAGACACCCTGATCTTTAATTACAGCATTACACAAGCTTCATCAGGTTGATGAATATATTATTTCAAGAAACTGAACACCTTAGCTGTATGAATCATGCAAACTAGAGCTGTGGCAATATAAAACATGACCACATATTTCAACTGCCTGCCTCAACAAACCATATAGTTTATAGGTAGTTTTCATTCAATGTTATTGTGATCATCAACAAAAAAGACAAGGAAGCTCCTTCTGTGATTGACAGTTGCAGGTGAGTGCAAGTTAACTAAGACTTCATATCAACCACTTAATTTCAATAAATAATTAGGACATTTTTGCATTTTCTCTAATAAGCCCCACTTGCTTCTTCTCTAAGAAACATAAATAGATAAAGTTTGGGTTTCTGATGGGCAAAAGTAACCACGTGTTCAGCTGTATCTAAACACTTTTTTTTTCCTTTCAAAACAAACAACGAAAAACATTAATGGTGGTTGCATTAGTGGATCAAAATTTTTTGATTCATTCATACTTGTGTCAACATGATAATGGATTTTTATGAATCACTCAAACTAGACTATATGTGCCTCATAAATGGGGACTGAGTGAAAGTGAGGTGTGTTATGATACTCAATCTGTGGTGCAGGATACAGCAACAAATAAATAAATGCTCATGAGAAAGTGACGGATGACTTTTACCTCTGACTGCGTCTGCTGCTGTCTTTTCTCTCTCTCTCCTTTTGCATTGATGACCTTGTGGACGTAGACCAGGCAGCGTCTGATGATGTCATTATTAGGACGGCTGTCCAGAGCGAATCGCAGATCTGCATCGAGGGCTGGAGAGGAGAGGAAAAGCACACGTTAAGTTACACTTCAGCATTGAGCAAACCCCCCCCCACACACAAACACAGTGTATATTCCACCTGATTGGTAGTAGCTGTGGGCTCTCTCTGGGGTCATAAGACCGTTGTGGACACACAGACTCACAGTGGTCTGAAACACCTTCCTCAGATCTTCATCTTTAGCCTTCATCTTGCTCTCCTCTTCCTCATTAACCTCTGTCTGCTCAACAAAAAACAGATTTAGATTTAGATTTAGACAGCAGCACCACAGTCTGTGGCAATGGCTGCGGAGACAAAGTTTTAGAAAAGAAACAAATATTAATTATCCAGGTAAACTATATCTAAAATATGATCACATTATCACTAAAAATATATTCACACTGTCTGAGAAATATAGAGTTATCTGATATACAGAATACAAACAATCAGGATTATTAACTCTTCTGATTATTAACTGATATTTCTAAATGTTTTGCATGGTTTTATAAGGAAACAAATTATTTTAGAGGACTTAATTTTTCAAGGAAATTTAATTGAGCCTCTGCCATTCATAAACAAATCTGCCACAGATAATTAAATTATTTTTTACTCACACTTAATTCGCAGCTGCTAAATGTAATTGTTTGCTTTACGAGAGAAATTCAATTATAATTCATAAATATACATCAAGATGAAATTCACTTCAGTGGGTAAAAGAGTAAAAGCTGAGGTGCTCCTTACCTGAGCACAGCAGGTGTCTCTGTGTGGAGGTCTGAGGCAGTAGGAGGGAGGGATGGTGTTCTCGTCCCTCTGGTAAACTCTCTCCAGCTCCAGGGTGCCGACGCCTGCCTGCTGGCCCTCCTGCAGCAGCAGCTGGAATTCAGACACCTCCACCTGGCTGGGCAGACCGGCTGTGCCATACTGATGTCCTACCAGTGCCTGCAGCACCGCCATGTGGTCACAGAGGGAACATCAGCAAGTAATGCATTGATAAGTGTAGATCAGTACACATTTGTATTGATGTTCATTGATTCATAAAGCTTGGGAGCACTTAGTTTTCTTCATTGTGTTCTGTGCAGCAGCTGGAAAAGACAGGGGTGTTATTATGCACCTGTGATTTTATACAGCGTCATCCAATCCAATTCTGTGAATTTTATGATCATTGATTTGTGTTGAGACTGTGTCAGATAGGTGCTGTTGACGTTTTTTTAACAGATGTTGACAGATGTATCCTGTGACTTAGGAGAGTGACAGACTCAGATAGCTAAATTGTTGATGTGACTTTCCACTTATAAGACAATCTGTTCAACCTCTCTCACACACCACCAAAAGCCTGAAAAGCTGCTCTCATACTATTAGAAACCTCAAGATTCAACAGGGACTGATCTGATGACAGCTGATAGTGAATATGCAGCTTTAAGGCAGTACAGATAGTCCTCCAGGGCTGCTACTGGTGGCACTGTAGGTATCAATCAAACTGCACATAGACCCTGGGATTTTCTGTTCTGCTGTACACTACATGATTATATAACTTCTGGTGATTTATTTACCAGTAAAAATGGCCCAGCTGAGCTCTCTCTGCATTCTTTAATCAGCTGCTGTCTGGTGTATTCATCTGGCCAACGACTGGGATCACTGGACTCAAATGGGTCTATCACCTGCAGACACACAAACACGGAGACACGGAGACACAGAGACACAGAAACACACAGACATACACAGACACACACACACAGACACACACAGACACACACAGACACACACACGCGCGCGCGCACACACGCACGCACGCACGCACGCACACACACACACACACACACACACACACACCACACACAAAATCATCTAGAGGGGAGATGACTGATAATTCAGTTTATGAAAAGCACACAGCGAGGTGTAATAACAATTGGCCCTGTAGTGGCTAAATAACATATCATATTGTTCCATCTTTCTAATTACATACGCTGCTGAATAAAGACAACACAGTGAGCTGGTTGAACTGCCCTGAGGTGATCTGATACACACACAGATGCATGAACACAAACTAACGCACTTCGCAGAGTCGCATTACAGCTGCTCATCTTTTTTGCTTTCTCTTTTTTTTGTCAAATTTAATCAGGCAAAGTTAACTAGAATTGACTGCACTTTTACAGCGATGGCCTCAGGGAGTAGTGTTAGGTATATATATACACACACACACACACACACACACACACACACACACACACACACACACAGACACACACACCTGGAAGCTACCAAATATTATTTCTTTTGTACTATGCTGTTGGCAGTGTGCACTGTTTTGCCTGAGTCTTGGTGATCCTCTTCCATGGATGAACGTGTCCATGAATCAGTCAGTTATTCTTCTTGTCGACTGACAGAAAATTAATTCGTTGGCAACAGTTTGATTTGATTTTGACTGTTGCTCAGAGAAAACAGTAACTTTAATTCATGATTTTCACCTCATCTGAAACTGCCATTATATTTGACATTTTATAAATACAGCAACTGAATAATTCATGTAGACTATAATCAGAAAGTAACTGTTAATCAAAAGTTAAAAGTTGAGAACATCTACTTTTGATCCAGACAGAAAACATGCACATTTCAGTAGATCTTCAGGTTGGAAAAATGATGGCACGACCAGGAACGCATCACCGCAGCTGAAACAACTTCATCTTTATAACTTAATTCAAGACCAAACTTTTGCTACAGATTTAAAATAAAGTAAGTTGCAATGTTTCCTCCAGTGGGCCATAGCTGCTCCTCCTAGCTCTAAAAGCCATAAATACTGTGAGTGTTTATGACATTACTATATTGGTTTTTTAATGTAGCATCAACAGTGTCAGCATACTGCTTCAGCCTGTTTGTTTATTGTGATAAAAGAGAGAGAGGATATGAAACTTTAAAAAAAAGAAAGAAAGTACCTCCCCTGCTGCAACACGGCAACAAAACACAACAGTGAGAAGTGGATCGTATACTCACCCTGACATCCACTCCCAGTGTGTTTCTGCATTGCTCTCGAAGTTTGGGGAAAACACTCTCTCTCAGAGCTCTGCGCTCGACAACGCTGTCTGTACAAAGTGTAAACACAAACACGATACATCACAAAACAACTCAAGAAACATGACTAAAGCACAAAAATGTCTACATCTACATACCCTCTGGGTTAGAGCACAGATAGAGTTTCACACAGGACGAGCTGTAGGAGGAATCAGACGGAGACCAGTCCATTTGTTTCCCTCTGGAGCACATGACAAATCAAGATATATTGTTAACAAAAGTCAGCAAAAGAAGTCAGTATGGAGTCTTTCCTGGACCCAAATAAAAAGTTCACAGTTGCTGCTTCTCCTCTGCAATGTTGTTTCTCTTTTCCCTCCTGCTAAACTCAGGAAATCCTAGCTTCAGCTGTTTATAGTGTGTTATCATGATCACACCCACTTCTAGGGACTGTAAAGTCTATACACACACACACACACACACACACACACACGTGCACCTGTCAGTTACACAAATTCTCAACTGTGGCCATAATACTCAAATTTGTCAGACAGGTGCATACAAACACAAATATACTCCTAACTACTTACAAGAGGACCCATGTTGAAAGAGACACACAAAAACAAAAGCCCAGAATGACACACAAACAATTTTTCCATATTTTTTTTATTAATTAACATTTGTACACAATAAATACAAACTTTGTTTTTTGTACAGCCAATAATAATATGCAGAAAGACTTTTGCACCTGTTCTCATTATTGTCACCATGGCAACAGTCTGTGAAGAGAGAGAAGGCCAGTTGTTCCACCACATCATTAATAACAGCAGCAGCGGTGCAGCTGCTCCAAATCCAAGGATGAAAAATATAGAATTATATGATACATTAAAAAACAAAAACAGGCTCAAACCAAAAAATTAAACACTGTAGCAGACCAGATGGGCTGTTAACAAGGGAAAATAATCATGTTCGAAGTGTCAGCTAGCAACAAAAAGTCCTACATTTTGATAGATTGACTAATGGAGCATTTATGGTGGGACGTTCTGTGGGATGCTGCTGTAAACCATAAACTTCAAAACAAGTTTGAAAACCAGTATAAATAAGATCTCAGAGAGATCAAGGAGAGGCTGTTGTTCAAGTCGTCTTGACCACTCTGTTACAAGTCAATGCTAGTTCCTACAACAGCAGAAGAGCAGAGGTTTGGATCTGAAACTTTAACTAAGTCCAGCATGCTTAACCTTTGTTAGGTGTGGATGCTACACAAAATGTTTTGTTTCTAAAAAATGATGCAAAAAAATCAAGGATGTTTTCAGTATTTTCACAATTTCTCGCATCACTTTTTTCAGTCTGACATAATTAACCTCCAGTATAGAGACCAATCAATTTGAGCCCAAGCCTCAAGCTGTGTCCCAACTCCATACTTCATACTTCATATTAATACTACATAGTATGTATTTTATACCAATCCATACTATTTTTGCAGTTAATACACAGGAAATTAATATACTTTACAGTTAATGTACTGCTACTTTGGAGCAGGACTGATAAATGTCATTAGTAAGTAGAGAACAACACAGATTTAATACTTTTTTTTTTGTTTTCCAGTATGTTTCTGAAGCATCCCCACCAATGGAGAACAAGTACTATTCTAATTGTCTCCATCTATGAAAGGCTCCTAAATTTCTTATCTGTGTGCACCGTGAGGAAGTAGTGTTCATCAACATCACACACAGTATCAAGATAATTTAGTATCCATACTGACATCTCTGAGTATAATTTAATTTGTGGTGTGAATGATCAACAAAATCAAAGCCTAGTTAAAATAAATATGTAGGAAGGAACTGGGGCACATCTTCAGAGTCGAACACAGACCTAATCAAAATTCCTCCTCTCTCCGATAAACAGTCACACGCGCAAACAGCTAGGCCTATCCCAAGACCAAATAAAAAAAAGAAAAGAAAAAAAATACACACATTTTCTCAATGTTTTCATTCAAAGCATCCCTTACTGTAATTTTTTTCATTTGTTTATAAGTTAAGGAAAACACCAAATTACATTGTCCACAATTATCTCTCCATCTCTTTAGAAGAGTGGAAAAGTGAAAATAAAAGTATCAGTCACACTGAAACAATGAGGATCCACCACAGCATTAGAATGAAAAGAATGACTCTGACTTCTGTATTTGTAACTACAGTGATTCAACAGAGTCATTTCTACATGTCCCGCTGCTACGTGAAGGTACTGCTACTTTCCAGGGAAGGTACAAATAAATAAAAGTGCTACGCTGCCCTTTAGGCAAGGAGTTTTAAAGGTTTGAGGGGTATGTTAGGGGGAAGATTTTTTTACTTTGAGTAAAAAAAAACAAAAAAAAACAACAAAATTGTACTTTGAATGTTGCTTGCAAGTTCTGTTCTTTCCATTCAGAATGATGTATTTATTTTATACATCTCTTTTGTTTTCTGTTTCTACCATGGTTAATCGAAGTTGAAATGTAAGACAGTGGGAAAAGATGAGGATGATGTCAAACTGGAAATATTAAAGGTTCATTTGTTTTTATGGATGTTTTCTCTGCTGCATTAAAAATCCAGAATCCCATAGTGATGTGATGGAGATGCTTTGCAAAAGCAACAGAGAGAAATAATACCTGCAAATGTAATGCGTGTCAGTTAAACAAAGATATATGTTATAGGTGAATAAAATCAGTGTGATAGGAGATATGATCTGTAGGGATAAAAGTCATACTGTTCTTTCTGTGATTAATAAAATCTCCTGACCCCAAATATTTTTCAGTGTCTATATCATCTCAAATAAAACTTTTCTCTGTCACCACATGGTGAATACCAACAATTGCAGTGCCTTTGAAAGCACCATCGTCCTCCTCCTGAACCAATCAGTGATACAAACACAGAGCGGGTCACAGAATGAGAGCAGATATAGCAATGTGTGTGTAATATTATGTAACTGTATGTGTGTATATGAAAGCTACTGATTCACACTGACTGCCAATGGACAGAACAGACATTAGAGAAAAGAGGGAGAGAAATAAAGGAAGGGTGGGGAGAGAAGTGGAGATAAGAGCAGAAGGGAGGATCCAGCCTCCATTTTCTCTCTTTTTCTTTCATCCTCTCCTCCCCTCTCTCCTTTCATCTCTTCTTCATATTGTATTTACAATGCCCTTTCAGTATAAGATGAGGATAAAACTTCCACTACATATCAGACATGGTCATCCATTCAGCTGAGTTAGTCTATATGAAACGCTGTGCATAACATTCCTATGACAACAGTAATGTACTGTACTAATACACATTGAATACGTATGATGATAAGGACTATATATGGCAAGGGAAGGGCTGGGGAGGGGGACGCTGTGTCCACACACAACACCCAGTTTCTCTGTCCATTTACTTCAACCCCCACTGCACTCCAAAACATGACAAACTTGGCAAGTTTTGACTCATTCCCTGTCATCAAGCTTACTTTTTATGGAGCCCCAACACTGAAACGCAAAATTTAGTAAATAAGTTAAAAATATAACATATTTAAAAGTTATTTTTCTTTTTCTTTACTACCAATCAGTGGATACAATAGTAGAAAATTTAATTTCACTCACTTTTCTATGTAACTTTTATGGCCTATTTTATTTTCAAACCCATTTTCAAACCCAGTTTGAATTTCAATTTAATCATGTAATTATTCCCTATTTTAACCATGCATGTATAATCATTTGGAAATTTGTTAAATATGTGGAGCATTGGAGACAATGTGCTAAAATGAAAACACTGGCAACTATGCACAGTGAGCATCAACTTTCTCCATTAATGTTAGCCACCATCTGAAGCTAACTTAGCTAGACTGTGTGGCTAGCTAGCTTAACTGACAATACAGGTGAGCCAAACAAACTGAGCATCAGTCCTTTCAGCTAGCTAGCTAGCTAGAGCTAACTGTCTTCACAGCTTGTGCACCTGATGTTAACCATCAAATTATTGTACTGCATGCTGCTGTAGCAAAAGCTTTTTAGCCAACAAACTACTTGCTAAATATTGGTAATTTTCCTAATTATTATATGTTAAGGACAGTTGGGAATTTGGTGAGGAAAGGGAAATGTTTTGAGGTGATAATAGACAAATGATTAAATGTGTGCCAAGACCAAAACAAAAAAGAAATACATATAAAAAGAAAATGGGCTTATGAAAGATAAGTGATATGTATGATAGTAATATGAGTAAAATAATTTGTTTTCATTTATTGAATCTACTAATAGGCAGTAAAGGGGAAGAAAATCAATCTCCTTACTCATTGAAAGTTACATAAAGTATAAAGCTTTATATTTATTTACATTTACTATTTAAGTAACAGTAATATTTATGTATTTTCATGATATTTTTGATTTGTCTGATTACCCTTTACTATACTTTGTCAGTGTCAGGGCTCCAAAGTTCTTTCTCATGCTTTATGATTATTTGTTAGCAAGTGAGTGATTAAAACAAGTTCAAACATATAAATAAGAAATAAACTGCACAGAGAAATAAACTGAATATCTTAAAGTAAGCTTAATAAGATAAAAGAAAACTTGCCAAACCCATCATTCACTTCTCACTCCCCCCTCTCCAAACATTCTCCCTCCTCTTCCTGCTCCTTTTACTGTGCTCTGGTTTGCTGTCTGATGAGGTGAAGTTTTAAGGCAAGACTGGAAGGACAAGGGAGGGCGGAGAAGGATACGGGGGCAGCCACTGCTGCACTTCATTAGGAAGCTACTACGGAGATTAATTAATTGGATACTCTGCCTTTATCTCCTCTCTCTTCTCTCCTCCTCCACTTGAGGAGGAGAGAAGATGCGGAGCGGCCGGAGGGGTCGACATGGTTCAGTTCGGTTTACTTCACATCTTTTTATCGCAGCTCACTTCAGTTCAGAGCAGTTCAGTTCTTCAGCCTGTAGGATAAGTCTGTCTGTCATCTGTTTTAATTTTTTTGAGTGTCTAAAACCAACCAAGCCTGCCAACTTGTCTGCCTGTCACACCAGTGTGATCTCCACCTCCTCCGTCTTGTCGCTCTTCTCCTGCTGTCTCCGGGAGTGCTGTTTAGGTGGAGGAGGGGCAGCTCGCACCTGCAGCAGTGACATAAAACAAATTAAGTGTGAGTTTAAGAAAAAAATATGTGAGAGAAAAAATACTGTCAACATAACAGAGATGTCCTATCTTTCTTAATTTGACTAACAGCATAATGTTTATTTCCTGCTCTACGGCACAAACCTTTTATATCTCCAAAAAGTAAGGATTTTTCATTCTCTACTTTTAGAGCCTGGTTTTAAATAAACTCAAAAGAATAAGATAAAAATGAACAACATAGAGACAGTGACACCGAGATATACCAAACAATTTGTATAAAATGTGTGTAAAACACAATAAAAGGCTGCAACAATTAGTTTTATGATGGATTAATCTGCCAGTAAGTGGTTTGTCTGTGTGTTTGGTCTACAAAATTGTGTTTGGTCTACAAAATTTCAGACAATAGAGACAAATGCCCTTTGCAAGTTTTTAAAGCCCAAGGTGAAATCTTCAAATTGCTCTTTTTGTCTGACCACCAGTCCAGTGCCAAGGCACACACACAGTGAGGCTGGAACGGTTAACTTAAGCCATAAACAATTAATCAATTATCAAAATAGTTGCGGATTTTTCTGTTTCTGTTGATTGACTTACTGATTCATCTGCTAATTGTTTCTACTGTTACATATACAGTTCTTCTGTAATCGACCTAATAAGGTTGACACTTATTGAAACAATGCACTTAGGCAACTCAGTTTGTTCCACTGACATACATAAATATATTACATGCAATAACCAGAATGTTCTTTGCAGAAAACAAACAAGTATGCCATCTTCCATACAAAGCACACTTATTGAAATAACTTTGATACTAACAGGTCGTAGTTTGCCTGGGCCTCCTTCAGGGGTGAATCGTGGCGGCTGAGTCTGAGGAAATCCTGGAGACACTGGACTCCTGCCAGAGCTTTGATCTACAAAGAAAGAGAAAGATTTTTAATAAAAAGTCACAATGACCTTTCTCAACTATTTCAGTTAGTTTGCGTTTGCGTATCTTACTGTGAGTGGACAGCGGTCCCTTGTGTGATGAGGCAGGCAGTGGAGGTTTGTGCTCCCCATTAAGTGCAGTGGAAGGTGAGCGTGGGAGAGGAGGTGGGGTGGAGGTCTCGGGGCTGGTGAAAGGGCTGATGGGAGGTTGGTCGTACAGCGGAAGAGGGGGCAGAGAAGATGGCAACTTCAGTGATGGAGAGATCTAAAGAAAGAGACAGAAATAAAGAAATACATCACTGAAAATTTGCTGCTCATCTGTGATCCCACATCACATTACTAATGATATGAATTTTCTAAATTCTTGTCAGTTGAGTCTCCACTAACTCCCGAGAAAAATATGTCTCTTTAGCTGCTAAATGCCCTACTATGTTCACCAGCTGTGTGTCAGCCGTTAGGTAGGTATAGTATGTTTTCTTTAGCTTTTGTCTGATAACAGCTGAGGTCTGCTGCTGATGGAAACGACGCTGATTAAAAGCGGTGGGAGTGAATCAAGACAAATGCAGCCAGGAAACCAAAACAATGAGCTGAAAGATGCTAAAACATTGCAGAGAGGGAATATGAAATTGCGTTTGTGTTCATCTCTCCAAGCGACACCTTTCACATTATATGTAATTTCATCCATCGTTAATATAAAATACTGTTAATATATGAGGGATATAAGGAGGAATACCTTACAGAAATATTGCCGCTTTACTAGTTTGAAGTGTGACCTGCCACTGCACACACCTCGGAGGATTCAGATCTTTTACTAATCTTCCCCACATAAGACTTAAAAGACGTTAAGAGTTGTTGTGTGTTATGACTACAGGCTTTTAGGAAGGGAGAGGCTGTATCCTTCCTGTTTCTGAACCTCTAATAGGGCAGCGCTCAGTGCTACAGATAAGACTTCTTTCTGTGATTGCAGTGCAGGGTTTTTATCAGGACGCTGCAGGAACATGGCAGTTCTGATCCACTATTTGTGAACTCTGCCCTGCTGATAGATCAGCTGAACAACAGGCAGGAAGGGAGGGGAAAGAGGGGAGAAAGTGGCACAGTAGACTACACTCTATCCTCGGTATTTGTGCCCTGAGGAAAGACTGATAAGGCCAGATTTCCAGCTGAGCTCAGGAGTTAGGCCTTGAATGCCTGTGTGTTACTTAAGTGGGAGTTATGTCTCCATTTTAAATCTGCTTTACTGAGTTCTCCCACTGAATTACATGTTGTTGTGTGTGTTATCTGTTTGACTTATCCCTGTGAGTGTCGGTGTTACCGTACCTGTATGTCACCCACCCCTCCCCCGCTGGTCTCCCCATTTTCAGTGAAATCTTCTACCAGTACGGAGGGGAAGACGCCCACTCGCCCGTTGAGCTCCCCCTCCCAGAAGCCATCATCTGTCTGAGTGTCGCGGCTCAACAGACGGATCACAGCTCCCTCAGAAAAGGAGAGCTCCTCGTCCGCCTGGCCCTCGTAATCATAAAGTGCACGGACATACACCGCTGCAGAGAAAGAAAGGAGGATAAAGAGAGACGGAGAGTAACAAGAGATGCAAAGAAAGAATTATTATTCCTGGGAAATGTAGTTCCTTGTCTGTCTGGCCCTCATTGTCATAAAGAGAATGGTACACATCACTGGAGAGAGGGAGATATAGAGAACCGCAATGATAATTAGGTGTCAGATTTTCCTCATGTTCCTCGTCCAAGTATTCAGGTGGAGCAGACACATAGGAATAGAAAGAGGGTAGGAGAAAGAGAGAGTAGAAGAAAGAAAAAGTTGCAAAGAAAGAAGGTTAGGAAAGAACAAAGAATGAAAATGACTGTCCAGCTTCAATATATGTTTGGATACAACCAGAGATAAAAGAGAAGCCAAAAAGAAAGTGAATATTTGTGATTAAGCTCCGCTCATGCCCATTTTTATTGAACTGCCCTGCAAGTCCAACGACTGGTGTTTTGTATTCTTTGCTCAATTTTACACAACCACTCTGCTCTGATTTCTGTTCCAGTGAGGCAGTGGAATAGCAGCAACAAGATTTCAAACTGCTAAATATAAATGCATGGAGAGGAAAGCTGGACAGACAAAACATATTCATATTTCTCTTCCATTCTTCCTTTCTTGTTCTTCTGTTCAGTAGACAAACAGTGAACTCGCTCTTTACAATAACACCATGCTAAGCAAATTCAGTTAGAAGTCAATGGAGCAGTAAAGAAGAAAATGCCTCACTCAGTGGCACATAATAACTTCATTATAGGAAAAATCAAACTCATTTAAATTAGCTAGCTTGTTTTACTTACATTTCTGCCATGCAGTTTAATTATGACAAAGAATATTCCTAAGTTTACAGCATACTTACTGTTTGTGTCTCCATTGATACAGCCAGAGAGCAGCTCTGGCTCAGTTGAATTAGACGAGGTGTGTGATCGAGCATCGAGTGTAGCCAGAGACTGGAGCATACTCAGCAGACTGTTGGAGGTCGGGAACTGCAGGTATTTCTCTGGGACATAGCCAACATGGCCAGTCTTATTGCGAGCCTGGAAAACACACACACACACACACACACACACACACACACACACACACACACACACACACAAACACAATGAAGTGCATTCACAAATGCAAATATGGACATATTGATAATCTCACACATGAACACACACGACAGGAAGGAAAAAAACACAAAGAAATCATACAACCAGTGTTGTGCCAGTTCACACTTAAAAAGAACTATTTCAAAGTTCAGTTCATATAGATGAAAATGAACTAGTTTTTGTTCTTTCATTTTTTTTATTTTTCAACTAAGGTCACTGTTTCAAACAAACAGGCTTCAGCAGTAGTAGATGCACGTTCATCATTTGTAAACTGGTTTGTTCAGTTCAGCGTTCACTAAAAATATGAACATGTTCAATGAATGCGTTCATTGAACAACACTGCATACAACCATGTAAATCCAAAAGCAGACACATGACATAATGCTTGGTGTGTGTTTGTGCACCTTGACCCAGTCCTCCATGTCTCCATCCTCAATGACCTCCAACATCTCCTGTTCATCGATAGTCAACTCGTCCGGCTGAGAGGCCTGCATGAGAGACACACCAACAGTGTTAAAGACAGAGAAAGAAAGACTAAGAGTGAGAAAGGAAAAAGAAAATAGAGTTTAACAAAAACAGAGAGAATAAGAAAGGTGTGTTGTGGGAGAAATCTACTCTTGACTATATATGCATATGTAGCTATAACATTCAGTATAATTCATGTATCTTATTCTTTGCTCACAAGACATTCATTCTGTATAGTATATTAAAAAACAATGAGGAAAATACTCCGTAACTTGAAGACTAAGTTCATCATTAATAATTCATTTTAAAAACCTGAGAATTTCATGGCAATAACAAACCCGTCCGTATTTTCCTATTCATATAAATACAACACTGATATTCAACTTTACTTGCCTAATCGTGTACAGGAATGTATATGATACTGTGTGTTGTGGGTGTTCCTCTCCTTGCTTCATACATTTAATATGTGTAGGTGTAACCATGTAACTGCAGAGGGTAACCGTGTGTGTGTGTTGGTTCATTTACCTTGTACGAGTACAGGACTTTGCAGGTAAGCGGGTAATTCCGAAGGGTTCCCGAAGGACTAGAGCTGCTGTCGTCAAAAACCTCCATATTCTCTTCACACTCCTCACCCTCCTCACGCTCCAGGTCCACTGTGCCCTTTAACAAAATAAACACAAACACAGTCAGATAAAGTGAAAACCTCTGATAAAAAACAAGGACAAAGAAGAAAAGCACCATTCACCTCTAAAGCTCCAGAGTAAAAAAAAAATGTACTCCAGACCAAATAAACAAAAACATTGCCCAATACAAAAATGTTGTTTCCATATGATGTCAAGCAGATATTGAATATATAAAATTCAAAATCTGAAAAAAAAACAAAAAAAAAAACACCTTTCCTTCCTCTGTGCTAGTTTCACAAACCAATCTATACCACGCTGCCTTACCTTTTATTCCTGCCTGAGTCTCTCTTTCCTGTACAGTGTGGGTACTATAGCTTTTAGAAACAGGTGTGGAGGGACTAATGTTTCATATGATCCGACCCCTCCCTCTTTTGTTCCACGAGAATTTCACTGGCTTATATGAAGGTCATGTGATCCAGCTGGTAGAAAGATCCATCACACACAGCAAGCTGCCTTGTCCATAACAAAAGAGTGTGTGTGTGTGTGTGTGTGTGTGTGTGTGTGTGTGTGTGTTTATCCATTCCTAAGTCATTGTGTTTAGTCATCAGATTTCTGTTGACACAGTAAACTCTACACCGGTGCGGAACAAAACAGATGTGTGTTTTTGTATATGAGCTGATCTCCCAAGTGTTTCTCCCAGACAAAGGAATCTGTTCTCCAGGGAAATAATAATAACCTTCAGGTGTAGTCCTAAGGCATTCCCTAACAAAAATGAACACATTCTTGTTAAAGCTATCAACTGAGAATGATTATCAAATGGCCTTACATCTGAAACACACACGCTTATTTTGCTTTACAAACATAAATGCAATGTGTAATACTAATATCAACATGCTAACATACTCACAGTGACAATGCCAACATGCTAATATTTAGCAGATATAATGTTTATCATGTTCACCAGCTTAGCTAACCTGCTAACACATAGTACAGCTGAGGCTGAAGGGATTGACAAATTTAAATTTTGTAGCACTGTTGGTGGTGCCACAGAAAACATCAGGGGATCACCAAAGTCAGCAAGAGTCATCCTCTGAGGAGGATGAATGTCTGTACAAAATTTCCAACTATTGATTGTTCAGATATTTCAGTCCAGACAAACTGGTGGATCCATAGAATGTGACAAGTTGCATTATTGGATTGGTAACAGACAGTTGTGTACATGCTATGCACACTACTGTTTCTGTTGTATTGTGGGAATTCTTTAGTGTGCATGTTACACACTCACACACAATATGGAGTAAAGAGGGTAACTGTTGTGGCCTGTGGGCAGGTGGTACATAGTAGCCACAGGGCTAAGAGTTAATTAATTCCCCTGGACGCAACAAATCATTTTGCAGTGCTCCCATAGCAGTGACAGTTCTTATATCATAACTAGAGAGAGATGTTGGACACAACCTTGGTATACATAACTGGCGGGAGTCATTTACTCAATGTGATGGAGGACATCTTGATGTCCAGTTCTATATTTTTTGAGTGCCAGTTGCAAGGACACATTTTTTTGTTGGCTGCATGTTTGTTTTGTTACGTCACTCCTATCCACCTTACTGCACTGATTTAAAAGCACACTGCACAGCCTGAGGGCCAATTTCATTCCATCCCTGAAGTAAAATGACCAGCATGTATTTCAGTAATAACCCAATAAAATGTCACCAAAAAATACATCTCTCAGTGTGTGTAGCAATACAGCTGAGATGCAGACCAATCAACCAACCAACCAGATTTTATTGTTCCTGGAGGTAATAACTGTGAAAGTGATATTGTAATGAAGGCAGTGGCTGCCTAAGGGACTTTAGGGTTCATGGTTTACTGTACTTCATGGTTGTATTAATAAAGCTGAGTCGAATGACAAAGGGGCAGAGGGAAGTGCCTGCTCCCCAATCTCATTGTTTTTCTGTGGCCTCCTCTACAGATTATTATTCATAATCCATCCATCCTTTCTTCTTTCTCTCGCCATCGGTCACTCCTTGACCTCTCCCTAATCAGCAAAGTACTGTTAACAATCCTTCCTACTGTTTTCCTCCCCGTTCTCCATCTCTGTCTCTTCATTTCCTTTGTTGCACCTCTCTATTGTAGTGCCGCTTTCCCTGCCACTGTCAGTCTCTTAAGGCTCCGGTGCACTCCAAATAAAATCAAAGGCTGTTGAACTGCTGTCAAATGCCTGAATACTAAATGTACCTCCTGGCCTGTTCTTTTAATAACACCCATAGCAGATGGAGGAGTTTTCAGCAGTCTAGTCTCCAACTGATTCATATTATAAATAGGGCAGGGAAAGTTAAAAGAAAACTCACAGTCCAACGGATGTAAAAAAAAAAAAGAAAAAAAAGAAAGACTTTACAATATACTTGCAGCTAATAAAAGGGAATTCTTTGTTTTTGTCACCATTTTCACCATTGTCCATCCATCCATGAGCTATACCGTTTATCCCTTGAGGGTCACGGGGGCCAATCCCAGCTGACACGGCTCTGTGCAAGTCTAATATTTTTTTGCTGTATAATATGGCCTTACACTATGTTCCTCTATGTTCTCTGCAGTTTTTCACAAGCCCCCATCTCTCTCACCTCAGCATCCAATTTTACTTCAGCATTATCACTCTGACGCTGCTCACTCCTCACCTCTCCCCCTCACCCTCTCCTCCACATCACACCACCTCTTTTTTTTCTCAGCTAACTTTCTCTCCTTCTCTCTCTCATTCTTCAGTAATTGTCTCTCTACAACTCCCTCTCTCACTGCACAACTCCTTCGATCATCCCTACTTCTCTCTTCATTTAAGTCTTCCTAGACTGCTTTTTCCCTCACTCTCCAGACTTTGTTTCTCTCTGGTGTTAGCTGCCAGCTGCAATATCATGTGAGCAGAATGTCAAGTGCTTCCAGTGGAGCAGACTGACTATGTTTAGTGCTGTTGACAGACACACACACACCCACGTCTCCTCAAAAATCCCATGTGGGATTACACTCCTAGTCACAGACAGAAACGCACAAACAAATGCACAAACATAACCTTAAAACTTAAATTTAATTTAAAAGAATGGTTGAAAATGCTGGGAGATGTGTTTAGTCATTTTCTTGCCAGGGGCTGAATGAACAGATCGACATCACTCTCATGTCTGTATGCTAAATATGAAGCTACAGCAAGCAAGCCGCCAGTTAGCTTAGCTTATGGTAAAGACTGGAAACAAGCGGAACACAGCTAGCCTGTCTCTGTCCAAAGGTAACAAAATCCACCAACCAGCATCTCTAAAGCTCTCGAATTAACACGTTATGTCTTGAGTAATCCATACAAAACATCAGTGAACTTTTCGGGAGCTGGTAGCTGATTTTAACATAAGAATGGTATCAATCTTCTCATCCAACTCTCAGGAAGAAAACAAATAAGTCTATTTCCAAATATGTCAAAGTATTTGTTTGTTAAGGAAAAATAAGAATTTACTACAGCCAGAAATGAGGGAAGGGGAATGTGATTCTACCTGGAGCCCACTCCTCAGCTCAGGCTTCAGATCTGTACTCAGTCTATCTTGCCAGTAAAACTAGAAGTGATGAACTAAAAACTAGAGAGTTGTGCATAGACTACATCAGTATTCCACTGGGGAAGTGGGGCGTTTTAAGAGGCTGTAACTAGCGTGACAGATGATTAGGCAGCAGGGCTGAGGTCAATTATCTTGCAATTTACATCATTCAGGAAGTGATTTGTCTGGAGAACTATTCTAGCTGGGTGGTTTTCACTTATAATGAAATCATAAAGAATGAAAAGTCTATGGTTATGAGTCAGTGCCTTGGAGTTTAAAATGACATTTTTTTGGATGTGTTGAATTGAGTGAGTTTTCGTGTGGTGCATGAAGAAAAACTGTTGGGGGGCGAGATGAGTCAATAGCAGCTATGTGACTAACAAACAGTGACACAATTTAGTGGTTTTCTGGTTTGAAGTGGGTTAAGGAGGCCACCATGCATGCAATACAAACAGCTACGGCTTATTTTGTGTGGTGAGGAGGCACCCTTCAACTTTTGATTCATGAGTGTGAGATTTGCACTTTCTAGCCAAGTCAATCACATCTTTATAAATTGATGATAAAAATTATTTATCACATACAGTAGTTCTAGTAACATTCAGGTTTATGTTATGTCAACAGTTTTGTTGTTCATTAATTCCTCTAATGTTTTCACATTTCATTAATAAACTTTGTGTTTTTGTGAAAACAGAATGAGTTCTGCTGGCTTGGCAAGAAAGCAGCAATGTAGGCACAGTGAGGGGAGGTGTCTCACCGACAGTGAGGGATCGTGGGAAGTGTAGCTGGCCCAACGTTCATTCTCCAGCTCCTCCATCACCTACAGCATGCACAGAGAGAGTGGGGGAGTTTATACACATATTGCAAACAGGCACACTCACACTCACATACTGCAGTACACTAAGTGGTATTCATGCGTGACAGGACACACACACGCACGCACGCACGCAAACACAGACACAGACACAGACAGAGAGAGAGAGAGAGAGAGAGAGAGTATATGCACACATTTTCTACAACACTCACAAACTAAACCCACCTGATTCATTGCACTCTTCAGCCAGGTATCCACAGCAACCCCCACTTGACGTAGAAGGTCCAACCGAGCCTCAGCTTTCAATTTTATTGTCTTTGGAGAGAGACAGGGTTAGGAATGTTAAAGAACATCAAATATATCACTGACCTACACAGTTTTTCTCATATCAGTCTAAAGAAAAAACAAGTACAGAATATTGCAACTTGGGTCCTATCTTATTTAAAATAAGATCCTATTTGACACATGTCTATTTTCCTTTATTATGGACATAAAGCAAACCTTTATCTCACAGAGCCACTGTGTGCCCATGCAGAGTAAAATGTTATCTTGACTGTTAGGAATAATGAACCAAAATATGAAAATACAAAGTTGTAAAACAAGCTGAATTTACATTCAAATGCAAGAGCAGCCTGGTTGCAGTCAGTTTGGTCTCCAGGTTGTAAAAGTGTCAGTCTCCCTGCTTTATATTTATTCATAAGTAGGAACCTCTTTCCCAGTGATGGAAGACTAGCCTCTTAAACTCGCACAGATGAAAAGACACAAAGGTATTTTTAATCATGATGCTGACACAAAACAAACACAAGGCAATAACAATATAACTAGTTATTAACAAACATATGTATATATAGTAAACACCCTATGGGAGCCATTTTCTCACATACAATGGATTTCTAGAACTGATGCAGGGAAACAGACCTCAAGTGAACCTGTATACCAGAGCAAACATCACAATATGCATCTGTTTCTAATCAGGATACACTTCTCTCAGTGCACATAGTATAATTTTTCAAGTTGAACTGAAGTTGTTCTTAAGTTGAACCTCATAGCCATCTTTACACAAGATTCCCACAACTGCCTCAGCATCAAACTCACTGAGTTTTCCAGGCCCAATTACCTCAAATTCAAGGACCCAACACAACATAGTTTGAGACACGGATCAATGTTAATTACTGTTCCAACACTAATAATTTTTATAATGAGAACTAGCAGGCTATATAGACGCTCACGGGCAACAATTAAAAAGAGAGAGAGGCTAAATTGTGTAAACACTTCTCAACTGTGCTGTGTGTGTTACAGTGATGGCAGACTATGTGGTCTGTTGTACACATGCACGCAGCTGCACTTAGCCTATTTACTGACATTAAGAAAAAACATTTTAAAAAACTTCAGTGTCTGTTTTTACAGAAAATATATAAAGTCAAGCACTTTCAATTATGTCTATTTTCAAAAGCTTTTGCAGCCTTGACTTTTTTCCTCACATTCACAAACTTTCAAGGATATAAAGGATCCATGGGAATCATGTTTAAATCCAATCTTCACTGGGAAAAACGTTTTAATGTTTTCTCTTTTGGCCTTTCAGCTGTATTTGATCATAATTTAGTGACAGAACAAGGATGTGAACTGGATTTGCACCCCAAAATGTGTCGAATCTGTGTCATGTAGTCTCTCAAAACTTGCTGTACTTTCTTTTAATGAGCTGTGAACACTGGACATGTGCCGTGTTCTTTGCTAATGAGACAATATGACGAGGCTATAACCACCAGTAGGGAAACCCCTGAGACTTACATTCAGTCTGTCTCGCCTCCTCAGCTTTCTCTTTCATCTCTGATCCTTTCTCTTTTTTCTTGCTGTCTCTCGCCATTTTCATCAATTTCCTCCTTCATTACCCTCTCCTTTCCTTTCTCACTGATGCTGACAGAGCAGATTGATAGCTGATGCCTCCCTCCCACAGAGGCAGACAGACACATTGTCAAGACAGACTCACCAGCTTTGATCAATAAAGTACCTGAGCTCCTTAAATGCCACAGTTTTCCTTTCTGTTAGCAGCACTCAACAAATGCTAGAGGAAAGCACCAGCCTTAGCTGCTGCTGCTGCTGCTGTTGTCCAACCATTAACATACCGGATTAAAGAGGAGGAAAATTAAAATATTGGCTGATACACTGCAACAATACTTTCAGTAGTTAAAGTCAACAGAATAAGCAGCCAGTAGTGTGAGCACAGATTACTGGTGGAAAGACTGCACAACCTTGGAAAGAAAGACAGTCTGGCTGCGCAGCTGTAATCATTAAAACCAACAGAAAGGTAGACAGGAAAATAGGTGGAGAGACACTGCAGGAAGAAAACTCAGCTGTCTGACTGTAACTAAAACAGAATTATGGCTCATTTAAAACGTTAAGAATTCTGGTTCTCTTTCAAAAGTGCTGCAACCAGCTGTTTTTTGCTCAAACACTGAGAACAGATTTACTTGTTGGGTGAAGCCATGACATGTATGTGAGATTTGAAACAACAAACTAAAAGAATATAAAAACCTCAAATATGTAAGGTATTACAACCTCCTGTCAAACATAACGAGGCACAGTGGGATCAAACTGGGCCTTTACCAATAGGTACAGTACTGTAGTTTGTTTCACAATTCAGTAGCAGAGATACCAACAGCTCAGGCAAGTGATTGGTCTGTTTTTATAACCAAAAAATATGGTGCATGTGCACACACCTCCATGTCCATGTTCTATTTACCAAAGGTGCTAACATGTTAGTGCAGATAATATATAGGATATTTCCCATCAATTTTCTTATTAGTTTTGTTTGCTTGTGCTATAAAGTGTCTGGGAGCACTATCTCAATGCCTCTTCTGTTTCTGAAGGATTGTGACGCCGCGTGTTAATTAGGCCAGATTGTCTCGTGGAGCCAGTTTGAGAACAGCCGTCAACAGCTCATTAGTATGAAGACAACCTCTTGCCTCAAATGTTCTCACTCTCTCATCCTCTAAGAACCTCTTACAAAGAGGAAGCAGAGAGGCCAACGATTACATCATTATAATATGGATGATTCCAAACTTTACTAGAAAGTAAGCATACAAGAAAGATAAGATACTGTATACTGTATAAATGCAACTTATATAAAAGGTAGTATGTCAGGTAAATCCCTTAATCTCTTGAAGCCTCATTCGGTGCCATGTACCTTTAGTGTCAGTCTCTCTGAGTACAAAATCACTGATTTCAGACAGTAAGAATAGAATTTGTTTTTTGTCTCACTGAGTTACTTTCTCTCAATAAGATAAGAAATGTACAGCAGATTCATCTTTATGCCTTAATTTCATTTGATTTCCAGTTACCTCTGATGCATGTTGTTTTATTAATAATGGAAGCTCCAGTAGAGTAGAACGGCTAGCCTGGGGCACACTCTCATTATATTTTATATATATATATATATGTAGATATGTGTGTGTGTGTGTGTGTGTGTGTGTGTGTGTGTGTGTATATATATATATATATATAAAATGCATTGCAGTACAATTTAGTTATGGTAAGTTTCACTTGACTTTTATCATAGTATGCATCACTTAATCATGCTGTGCCATTTCTGTAACGGTAATAACTATTTAAGTAATTTTTCACAGACCTGCACAGTCTCTAGTTTCAGTTTCCAGAGTCTTTTATCGAGCACTCAGGTGGAGACCATAAAATCAGACCAACATCAGTGGAGCAGAGGATACATTACTCTACTGTTTCTTTCAGTGTTTATCGATTCCATTCAAAATGAGGTGAGAAGAAGACGATGTTTCTGAAGACTGAAGTGCGTGGTGTTGAACACTGCAGAACAGATTTAAAGATTTAAAACAACATTACAACTTCAAAGGTTTGTGCTGCTTATTTTGATAAGTCTTCTGTGACCATAAAACAAGAAATAAAATTGTACCTAACTCCCTGTAACTCTTCCATAAATGCAACAGCCTCCCTGGTTTTTTAAGATGTTCTTAAAATAACCATAAACTCTGAATAAACAGTTTGTGTGGATTATGAATGTGTCTCTTTAAACCTGTTCACGATTCAAAGAAATGTGATTTATGCTTTATGCAGCGTGTTTTCCATAAAATACCCAGATGGAAGATTGTGAGACAAGATAAGAAATCTTCTGACGTTGCTCTTACTACAGCATGTATATGATGATGAAATGATAGATTCAGGTGTTTCTCAGATAAACCTAAAACTTGTATCTTGCTCCCAGATTTGCCTGCAGTTTGACATGCAGTAAATAATGGTCACAGTTTTAGCACAGTGCATTGACTCAGCATTTGTTGTTGTTGTGACAAGGAAACTGGGCAATTTATGAAAAATCAGCAAATGAGGACAGGTAGCGAGGCCAACTATGCCATCAATCTCTCTTACTGGCTGGTAGCAACCTTCTGTCGTCAAGCTTGTATTTCACACATGCTGCTTCTAAAATAGCAATGAGTTTTAGCTGATGATGATACCAAAGTAAAACCTGGATTATTACCCAGCAAAACACATCCTCATGCATTTCTCCAATGGGTAAAGGTGCCTCAAAAATATCTTTTATCCACCAATAGGCATTCACTGGATATAGGCTGTCATCTTGACTACTAAATCTCTATCCTAAATATAGGTCTAGCTTCATTTTCTTGCCCACAATGATTTGAAATGGCTTCTGCAAAATGCTATATCAGATGAAGATGGGACTTCATGTAAAAGGAAAGGATGGCACTATCACTATCCAGATAATGCTGTAATCAAACCTGGATAATGTCTTTTGTACTGCTTTGTCTCCCTTCATAATTCTGTGATAAGAGCTCTGTGATGAAGTCATTTGTAGCAAATGAGCTCATAAAATATTCATCATCTTACTCAAGGTAATGGTGGCCTAGAAGAGCAAAGAATAGCATACAGACAGTGTGAGCGAGAGAGACTGAAGCAGAGAGGAAGACAGAGAAGGTGGGGTAGCAAGAAGATGGTGTGGTCACATGTTTGCACTTTGCAACGAAAAGACTCCCTAATTATTCTGTAGCAAGTGAGATCACAAGCTATTGATAGTGTTGCTTAAATATTCTTGCAGTGTAAGGTATTGAAATAACTACCAAAAACTATTTTATCTATCACCTAAAAGCAGTAAAATTATATGCTTAACAAAATGTTTGCAAAAAATATCTTAGATGATAAAAAAGTGTAGAGATATACTGATCTGCCAGAGGTTAACGTCAGGAATGAAATATTTTTGACCAAACCTGACAGCAGAGGGTGCCAGATATATGAAAGCCTGATAAAAAAAAAAAAAACATAGTGTAGATGCGAAGAGGCAACAGGGGGAGAGAAAGAGCTAAGCAAAGTGAAGGAAAACAATAAAACTGAAGAACACAACAGAGATGAAAAACCAAAACAGCGCAGATACTTTTGAGAGAGAACAGACACAGAATTGAGGTGAGGAAGATGAGAGATGATGATACAGTGTTCTCATTCATAGCGTGACACATTGAATCTGCGGGAATCAATACATAAATGATCGATAACTCTGCGAGTGGAAAGGCTGAGATGTGCAGAAGGAAAAGAGAGGGAGTGGAGAGAAAGATGCTGAGGAGGAGGGAAAGATGATGAAATGAAAGATGGATGAAAAAGCCAAAAGAGCAAGAAAGAAAAGAAAAAGAGAAAAATAAATTGGCACTCACAGTATTAGATTTCATAGTTTAGATATAATAACTTGAATTTTTACAGCTACACTGCTATCATACCTGTGTACTGTCACACTGAGCTACTGTGACGGACATGACTCTGGAAAAGTATCTTTAAATCTGAACACCTGAACAGAATGCAACAAAACCACATAGAGCCACATAGAGCAGGGGATTATTGGGCTGTGTGGATACGAATGGTCGAATAACTTGAATGATCTGACAAAGAGGTAGACAGATCAATCCTGGGCCTTGTTTGTTAATTCCACCCTGCTTCGTGAGCCATGCTGATGAGCAGACTCAAAGCCAAGTGCCACTGACTGCATTCAAAATATGGACCAAATAATTAGTCACTCAGCCACAAACACCGGGTGGAGGAAATATGACTGAAGGCTGAATTCTATGCTCTCGCTGTGACAAGAGGGTTTGTTTGCTAGACTAACACCGCAGTGACACTGCTGCCCTTGCATAAATATACACAGGATATTTTTTTATATTTCATAAGAGAGGAAACATCTATCCGTCCTTTCTCCATACCTGCGTATCCTGGGTATGGTATTATAGGCTGGAGCCTAGCATAGGCAGGCTAGATCCTGGATGGGTGCCAGTCTATCACAGAACTAAGACACTGATGGACAACCATATTTAGAGTTTCCAGTTCACCTGTCCTTGCATGTCTTTGGACTGTGAGAGGAAAATGCAGCATCCGGACAAAAGCCGTGTGAACGTGAGGAAAACATGCAGACTTGACACAGAAAGGGTCGAGTTTAAACACAGACACTAAGGCAACTGTGCTAAGAGAACATATCCTATCATTTATCCTTTGCTATCAAAGATAAATGTCGACACTGAGTCACAGACCTCGGCTTTGCGTATGTTTTCTTTGGTGTCTTCTATCTTCAGCTCCAGATCTAGTCTGCCTTGCTCTGTGGCGGGCAAGCCATGGCTCTCACACTCCTCCAGAGACTGAAAACAACACACACAAACACATAACTTGATTAGAAACAGTGTGTGTATCTGTTTCAGATATTGTATTTTTAAAATTGGTATATGTGACAAACATGAGTATGTGTGTGCCCATCTTACTCTCTTGTAGTGAATGATATTTTTGTGTTCCCTGGCCACTCTGGTTGCCCATTTCCTGGCCTCCTTGTTCAGACTGTGCTCCTCCGTCGTCCCCGTCTCCGACTCCAGCTGACGACTCTAAGATAGACAGACAAACACAGACACACACACACACACACACACACACACACACACACACAAGCGCACACATAAGTACAGTATCAGCGATAACAGCACAAGGTGTTTGATATGCAGAAGCTGTTAATTAAGCTAAAGAAAGTGTGAGAGAAAGATTGTTTCTTTCTCACATAATTAATACAGCATGTGCTCTATTGTATTCCTCTTGGAACGAAATAGCTGTTATCAAAATCACATGTGAAAGAGCATGAGTGTGTGAAAGTGTCTGTTAGTGTGTGTGTTTTTGTTTGACGGCAGGAGGTACATAAATACAACAAAAGCACACATGTGGGCCTGTTGAAGAATCCAATAAAATATTCAACATCAATTATAACCATGTGGCATTTTTTCTGCAGGGACTAATGCATTAAATGTGTCTCTGAATTATAAGTTTCCACACCTTCACTAATCCACAGAATTAATTTTAATTTTTTTTTTACATTATTTCCAAAAAGCCCTGAAAACCTATATTATCAACTTCTCACTGTGAGTAAAGGGATGAATTTATCTCTGTGCTTATTTTTACTGATTTGAAGTAGGCAGGGCTTAGTTGGAAAAAGGGGATGTGATACACTGTGCACCAGTCAGAATTTAGCACTGTGTGAATCAAAATCTGATGACAGTGTGTGGGTTATTTGGTTACTCTCAGCTGATGATCTTACTCTCTCTCACACACACACGCAGTGGCACTTTAATTCAGTCTTCTAAGTTCTAACTCTTAACTATGCAGGCGACACAGAAAGCTCAGCGCAATGCTACTAATTAATGGATGAAGTATGGATCATAAAGGGTTAGGGAAACAAAAAGGATACATTTTAATACTTTGCAGAATCCTTCAACCTGTGACCCTTTTTTCATTTACACGTTCTAGCTTCCATCAACTTAAATCTCTGTTTTGTGGCAATAGCAAGTATACTTTACATTTATATCGTGTTGGTAAATTCTTTGGCATATATCAGTAGCCTATAATGTTTCAAAAATGATAAAAAAGTATATTTATAAGTATATTTATATATATTCTGGCTACAGGCAGACAAAAATGCCACTTCCAACAAAAACAAACTGAGCCTCAGGGTGTAAATACAGTACATACGGTCAGCGTCACTGATGTGTGTTCACAGACCTGAGAGGCTGGGGTTCCCATAATCTGATAATAAAAGTGTGTTCACCAGACTAAAGTACACAATATTTTAATTGCAAGTTTCTATGTACATCATATCTATTAATTATGTGCTGCTTCAGTAACAAGAGGGCATAAATCTGGCTAAGTATAGGTGTGAAACGAAGAGCTTTACACTGGAGATTTACAGCTTAATTACATTCAGGCAAGGGAACATGGCAGAGAGTTAAGGCAGAGAGGCAGAAAACTAGATTTAAACAGTGACTCTAAGCTGACATGTCATGGAGGGAGCTCAGCTAATTTGTGTCTTGATAGTTTACTAAACCAATTCCTGTAATATCAATGGAATTAAGAGAGTGAGTAAGAGTTTCTTTCAAATGTCCTACTAGTGTCTACATGTAGGGAAAATGTGAACACTTTCAGTCTGCTTGCATGTTATCTTCAAGTGACTTTGATGCTGTTCGTTTAGGTTCCTCATTCTGTTCATCAGCTTCATGGCAGCTCTTACAGCATGCTGGTTCTTTCTTTTTTTAGTGATAATTTAAGGGCATTTTCATACCTTTATTCAAACTTTCTGCTGGACAGTGTGAAACAGCTGATCGACTAGTTAAGTGTGAGCTAACATTTTATTTTCAATTATCATGGTGTAGTGGGGACATTAAGCACATATGACCTATGATAATCAGATTGTATAAATGTGTTTATTTATCAATGTCAAAGATTCATTTATTAAACCAAGACCAACTACAATAAAGAAGATAACAGGCAAAATTATAGTTTGTCAGCTCTCCAGCTTAGGGAAAGGTGAATATAGTATAGCACAGAGAACTCAAAATGGTGTGATCATACTGTACTTCAATAACAACCTCTACTGTCGTAATAACAGTCATTTAGTAACAACTGTGTTATTCTGAAACCACCGGGGTGGAGTGAGAATAAACTTTGTCAAACTGAAGTTGTCTGTTTGAAGGGGAGGTACAGTGTATGCTGGTAGGAATATGTGAGTTTAACCCTAAATCCTGGAGGCTTGTTGCTCACTCTAAACACTTGTTGTAGGCCTTTACTATCATATTACTGTAAAGCAAAAAGCTTTAAACCCAGTGATGTTTTTGCCACAGTAAGAAGCTAATCCTGTCTGTTCGAACACAGATTTGCATCATTTAGTCACGGGCTCCCGTTGTTTTCTAAAAAAAGGATCTCTCTCCACAGCTTGCAGAGACATACTACCATTATCTTGACTAATATATCACGTTGAACAGCACCTGTAGCTGTATGATGTTTTAATGGATTTTTAAAAGCAGTGGGAGTCTGATACTTGACTCCAGGGTGTCTGCACAATCTGCAGTAGAGCAGAAAGTAGTACCTTCTCACTGTGGCAAATACATTGCTGTGATCAGACATTTTGTGTGGATTAATGGCCATAATTGGTGTTATTGTAATAAACAAGAAAAATGCCTACATCCAAAATACAATTTTGTTTTAGTCTTAGTTTTAATATTACCTAAAATTCAGCACCTGCGCAGCCAACATTTTTGGTTTTATAGAGTGCTGCTTGCAGATGCAGACACTTAAAAGAATAACCTTCCTCATTATTTGGACTTTCACATATTCACATTCAGCATCTAGCTTGATCTTGGTGTGGCGGTTTGAATCAAATACAGAATCTAACAACGAAAAATATGCACAAGCAAAAAACAAAAAGGAAAAACAAAGACCTTGACCACAACTTGAACCCATAACATATTACAAATGTGCAATTAAAAATTAAAATCACTCAAACCAAAGATTTGACTCATCTGTCCAAACGAGGCAGATGACAGCATAGTGATATTTCAACAGATGATGCAACACGGTTACGGCATCTAATGAATCATCTGGTGCTGGAATTGCGTTGCTTGCCAACATGTGACAGGTATGACAGCATTATCATGTGGTGATCCCACTGTCATAGCAGTGGTATTCACTAATCCAGTAAATGTATCTCTCTTGTTTTATTATTATAGGGCAACAATAAAATGCATGGTATAAGAGTTTTAGCAATAATACTGCAACAAAGACAAATTTGTTTTATTTTACTTCTGAAAAACGATGGCTTATTTATCTCACAATGTCTCCATTTGCCTGGCTCTAGGGTAATAGTAGGTAGATAAGATAGGATAGGTAAGAAATTTCACAATAGCCGGCTGAATTATCAGTTTATATAAGGTATTTAATTCGAAATGTGAAACACAATTTCTGTTCTTTACTCTAGTCTGACTGCTTTGTTGTTGCAAAAAGGAAAGCCACACTCAAGCTACAAGGAAGGTTTCAAAGTCTGAACAATTTATTCAGAGCCAAACACACATTTGTCATGTTTATTCTAATATTTCTTACACCAGCAATGGTCATGATGTCGTAAGTATAACTGTAGCCACACCTGGGTGGTTATGCTGCAGCATGCAACATTAATGGTCATGTTAGTGTGACAAACGCACATGGGGATTATGATCATTAATAATCCTTGCAATAACTTTTACTGTTATTAAGTGAAAGGGGAAACTCTATCCTGAGAGAAAACATAAAAACATATTATGTCTGTGGTTATGGACCTGATCACAATTTGCCAAGATGAATCACAGACCTCTTACAGCCAAAAACCTGAGCACCGTGGTGAGAAAGAATAGTTTGTAGAGCACAATAATGTGTTAACAGTTATTAATAAGGCTATATTTTTGCCCAATAAAATAACCCTCGTTTGTATCACTGTGAACCTCTTTCCTCTAAGCGTTTCTGTGCACAAACATTTTGCATGCTCATGCTCATAGTCCCCTGTGTGTTTGTGTTGAAACTGGCTAGACATGCTGTAATGGCTACTCCATGTTCTGTTTAGGAACAGGGATGGGTCCGTCCTCCTTCCCAGGAAAGAGCGATTGGATGTGAAGGTTATTCAAGTTGACTAACTGTCTGTCTGTCTGACTGTCTGCAGCAAGTCAGGGTTAAGTCAGGTAAGAAAGCACTGCCCACCGTAGCACTTTATAGGCAAGTAGTCTAGTCAGGCAGAGAGCAATGTGCAAATACAAGTGCATATAGACATAGTGATTTATATATTACCAGTGTCATGCAAAATCATTAATCACAGTCCCAGTTCTTAGGGTTGAAATGCATTATTAAGAGAAGTAGCAAAGCCTTGTTTGGGAATACATGAACTACTCGTACATGTTAAAGTCAATAACACAAGCAGTGAAAACTACATTAGGACATGAATGGAGTAGATGATCCATGGTTTGTGTCAGGAATGAAGATGGGAATGCTAACAATAGTTAAGACTACCTGTGCCAGGGTCATTCTCATGGCACTGACGGGCGACGGCTCAATGTCCACCAACTGCTGCACCGAGCTCAGAGTCTGGCACACACACACATACACCCAGGCAAGCGGCCACACACCCACACACCCGAGAGCAGCAGTGCAAGCACACAGACACACAAATACAAGGAGGGGTTAATGGAAAAAAAGTTTAGGGAAAAGTGTTAGCATAGGTTGAACAGGATTAGGAAGACACGGGGAAGGAATAGCACATTATTACACAGAGAAATGTTAGAATACCAGAAGAGAAGAAGAAGAAAAGGGAAAGAAATTGGCACAGTGAAAGCATGAAAGATAGAAAGAAGCTGAGAAACAAGAGAGCACAAAATGACTCCGACACAGGAGAGAAGGAGAACTACTGTATAGTGGAATTAGGACCAGTGTCCAATGGGAGACATCTTTTATTTAGCTAGCAATACTTAAGGAAGGATGAGACAGCATGATTCCCACGGCCCCATTATGATCACACAGACACTGATCAATTGACGACAATATGAAATAATTTAAACATTCAGCATGTCTACATGATCTTGTGTAAAAGATAAAACAAAATCTAGGACTACAAAGAGAAGCTCCCAATGGACACACAACATTTGGTATTAAAATGACAAAAATTATAACACAGAGTAGGTTCATGCTGTTTCTAACACTATCACCAGACACTAGTTAACTGGACAACTCTTTCCTGAATTGTTAACATAAAATAAATCTCCAAAGGCTCAAGACAAAAGAGCAAAGGATCTCTCTAGAGAATAAAAATGATCAGAGCTTTGCCTCTTTGATTTCAAGCCTTTGAGCCCCAGATGTATTAATGGCATTCTCTATAGATCATGATGATGAAGGTACACAAATTCTGTTTCAGTGACTGAGATGAGCTTAGGAATGGAGCCACAGATGTAAAATACTAGATTGGAGGGGACAGAAAAAGAGGGAGCAGGGAAAAGCCCGCATGTGGCAACAAAAGAGGCTGATTACTACTATGTGTGTGTGTGTGTGTGTGTGTGTGTGTGTGTGTTTGACAGAAACAGAAGCAATAAAATGACTGTCCTGCCGTGTGAACAGGTTCATATACAAACAATACTCTCAAGCTCAATAGCACAATGCTGCGTGTGTATGGATATGAACACAGTGGATGCGTGTGCAGTTATGTGTGTCTCACCGTGTCACATTCACTAGGCTGGAACTGGAAGTCGTGTGCTTTGTGAAACACTGGATTCTCCTGCATGAACAACTGCTGGTTGAACTCTTGTATTATCTGAGAGAAAGACAGGAGGAGACAGTGAATCTGGTGCGTTTGTATGCGGGTTTCCTGCTGTGAAAACTTGTCAGTATTGGCAAACATCATAACCTCAGTGAATCCACGCTGAGCACAATCTCAGTTCCCCAGAGAGGGAGCAGACTACATACTCTTTACAGTCACATTTCAAGCCTGCAGTGGGTGAGTATTTTTATATTCATACATACATTTTAGGTTTGATGTTTTGAGTATCACTTTAATGGCATACATTGTCAAATCACGTTCTTGCAGAGGAGTGATGGTATATTGAGATTTCTGTTACCTTGCCTGCACACACTGTTGACGAAAATCTGTCACAGTGTGTCATTTTGGTTGCCAATCCATTTTTTTGCATTTCTGTTTCAATTTATTTTGGGGTCTACTACAAGCTTTATGAAGACACACAACAAAAACAAAAACAGAGATGCACTAAATATAAGACAAAAAAACACTACATTTCTTCTTTATTGTCTGTGTTCTATGTGTGTGTTTCTGCATTTGTATTTTGATTTCCTTATATATATGTCTTGGCAGCTTTCTGAAATCGTTTTATCGCTAAAATGCTGAATGCAAACAATACCTCCCCAGGCAATGCAACACCCACCTACCCTACTCCCCCTCACTAATGTAAGAAAAATAGTGCCTTGCAATCACAAATAAAATGTCAAAACGTCCCATCCAATTCGCAAAATGAAAGAAGAAATACACAATGTTTTTCGCAAAATAAGCATTTTGATCAGACTGTTATGTTAAGAAGATTGATGGATATTGCCCACAGTATCTTTTCTGAGACCAGTAACACAGTATTTCTATGTACTAACTTATAAATGAGCACAGAAGGTCTGTGTCTCTCACCACAACTGACTCACCCTGGTGGATTTGTCCAACAGGAACTGGAAGGTGTTGTGTGTAGCTTGGGAGGCCTCTAGCTCGGTGCGACACAGCGCTACCAGATAGTCTTTCACATGCTCATAGATCCTGCCATCCAAGGCCTGGAGGACAGACAGAGAGGAGGGCTGGGGTTACGGTGAAGAAAGGATTAATTCAATGTAATCCGTCATAATAAAATAGACACCAAGAAAGAGAAAGACAAAAGAGAGAGAGAGAGAGAGAGGGTTGAAGAGGAGGTGAATGAAGCCAGTTACTACTAACGCTTTAGCAAATACTCATTTTTATTCCACATTCAGATGTGACGGGCCATTGAATTTTCACCCACACCACCTCGGTTAGCAGTGCCCTATTTCTCATCATCAAACATCAAGCCATCATTTAACCTCATCTGTTCTATAACCAGGAGCCTGACCGTAACAATGCTCGTGTCCTTCCTGTCCCTGTTTTGTTTTTAAGCTAGGAGGAACACTTCACCTTCAGGGCTGTGTAGGTTATAAAGTGGCACTAGCTTGTTTAGTTTAGGCAAGGTCTAAACAAGAGAGAAGCAGTTTCAACAGTGTTTCTCCTTAAGGAATGGGACAAGTGAATGGTTATTCAGAGTCATGTTTATATATATATATATACGTATATATATATATATATATATATATATATATATATATATGTATAATTCTCTGATGCAGAGCTTTGAGATCCAATGAAAAGAGGCAACTATTCTATCATTTGGCAAATTGCTAAATCTTTACACAATATCAGCAACAAATCCACTAAAACTGTGAATGTCACAATAGCAGACAAGACAGACATGTTGTATCTGCCCTGACGTCACAATGTGACATAAATTTGATTGAAGTTAAAACTGTTGCACACACACACAGAGTGTTCCTACACAGATGTTATGTTGTCTGATTAGGGTGGGACAACTCGTTCTTATGAGTCAATAGAGTTTTGTGACCTGAGTTTTGTTTAACCTGACTAGAGCTCTAATCAGCCAGAGTAACTGAAATTGAAATTAAAAGTTAAATAGAAATAGTTTAATTTAAGAGAGTTACGTGTTCAAATTTGGTTTGTTACACACACACACACACACACACACACACACACACACACACACACACACCTAGCTACTGGTAGCGCTGCTACCCCCTGAAACAAATTTTTGTCTAACCAACATTTTTATGAATTGAACTAAACTGAGAAAGAAAAGAAATGGAAATAGAGAAGAGATGGAGTGAGACAAACAATGAGAGGCAAGAGTGAGTTGGCACAAAGTCAAAGGAAGGACAGAAACCAAGCAGATGTTTTCATTTGACAGCTCTTATCATTAGACGTTCTGATGCACCGATATAAAGACATTTTAATGAAGTATGCAGTCCAAATGAGCAGCCTTTCTACAGGGAGCTGCGGCAGTGCTGCCAAGCTGTAGGCCACACTGCCAAACAGCCAGATCAGACAGAGAGGAACGAGACAGAGAGAAAGAGAGGCTAATGGAGAGGACGAGGAGGAGAAGAAGAGTGAGCATTTGAAAGGGTATAAAAAGGTACAAGTGGGTGAGAGCAAGAAAGCGAGACAGACTGAAAAATTAGTGTATGGGAGAAGCTTGTGTGTGTGTGTGTGTGTGTGTGTGTGTGTGTGTGTGTGTGTGTGTGAGAGAAATGTTCTTTGGATAGTGTTCTCACAGCTGCAGGGGAAGGTGAAGGGGTTCAGATTCCAATTCAACAAAACACTAAGACCGCAGACACACACACACACACAAATACACACACACACACACACACACACACACACACACACACACACACACACACACACACACACACGGACAGACTCACTCACTCACTCCTCTGGCAAAAGTACTTTACAAAAGCTCACACTCTCAGAAACCTGGATACACTCTGTGCCGGTCAGGGGATGTTTTGGGCCAGACTACAGCCTCCACCAACACCTACAAACTGTCTTTTTCTTACACAGAAAGTCACACACACACACCCACACACGCTTTTGAATATACCCCACATACCACAAATGTGGCATTTGCACAATTGCACATGCAAAACACAGACTTATCATACAATGGGATATTGACAAGGAAATTATGTCATTAAGGGTGGGTTGTTGGCTGACTTCTCTCTAAATGTTCCCCCATCATTCTGCTCATTTCCTCCTTCCTCTTTCTTCCCTTCCTCCCCTCCTCTTTTCATCCATTTACGGTAGCGTTGAAAAGAAGTGAGTCAGCTTCCAGAAAAAGCCCCATCCCCGTGTCATGGGCAGTGTGTGTGTGTATTTGTGTGTGTGCGTATGTGTGTATGTGTGTTTGGGTTGAATGACTGCATCAGCCTGGACAATAAGTACAGCATAGAGACCCAGACAGTGCAGCAGAGGTGGAAGTGTACAGTAGGTGTGTGTGTGTGTGTGTGTGTGTGTGTGTGCGCGCGCGCACGTGTGTGTGTTTGTGTGTGTGTCTAGCGGGGGACTTTAAAAGATGGACAGTAATAAAAGCCACGGTTGCCAACAGCAGAGGGAGATGTGGAGCAGTCTGTTCTTCCTCTGCCCTTTCAGTGCTACTGTCGCATTGACAAGGACAGCACCATTCAGTATAAGATACATGTTACTGCTGCATCCTGGTAGAGTCCTCAGTACAGTCAGTATTAATAAAGTGGATTTCTGATCTAAACAGAGCTATTAATTTCAAGTCTCCTCATCCATCATCCCCAGAAAACCATTCTCTTGTTTGTCAGTCATCTTTCCCACATGTTATTGACTATCCTCCTCTATCTGGTTTGACATCAAAGACAGAGAAAGTCTTGATCTAGCTAAAGAGAACTGAATTTTCACTGCCATAGAATGAGTTGTCTGTCTTTTTTCATAGGATGGCCATTACTATACTATATTTACTATCATTTTATTTGGTTGCGACTGTGATCAGTGTCTGCCAATGATGCTGCTCTCTGGGCTGCGTTTCTAGATGCATCTCTGCCCTGTGAAAAAAACAGACTTTCACGTGATGCAGATTTTGCTCCCTCTGTTGGGAGTGCCGTTATCACCGGCTTTCAGGTGAAGACCTGTAAACACCACAAACTCCCAAACTGCAGAGGAGGGAGAGAGGACGAGCAGATTGCCTCCCTCGAGCAATGTCCCTCATTTTGTTTGTGTGATTGCGTGCACGAATTTGTGTATGTGCATGTTTCCCTGCAGTCCTGTCCTTCTGTCACAAGGCGCTAAGGATCTATTATTCAGAATGGCCTCGTAGTATAGCTGCTCATACATGCCTAAGGCAGAGTATGTGAGATGGAGGGAGTAGGAGAGACAGAAAACCGAGACAGGGAAGGGCAGCTGAAGATAGAGAGGGAGTGACAGAGAAAGAAAATGCAGGATGAGGAAAAAGCTAAGAAAGAATCAGACTGCAAAAACTAGAAGAAAGAGGGAGAAGCAGATAGAAACATTCATGAGCTTCACTTTAAATTTTCTCACTGAATATACACAACTTACTTCACAGTAGATATGGGGTGTCTGTGTGCAAGTGTACATGTGAGTATGTGTGTGTCTGCCTGTGTGTTTGAATGCATGCAAATAATTAGATTATTACGAGATTAAGTATTAATCTATGTATCATCACAGTTTTTTGTGGACTACCTGTGTAAGTGAGCATAAAGGATTAACAGACCTGGATTTCTTTTGGTTGTTTCAGTCTAATTTCTTCCTGTTTTCATTCTGTCTATGTGCTAGAAAGGTCATGTTGTGCCAGATGGAACATGGTGCTTGCACACACAAACAGCAGCTTTGCTAACACAGATGGAAAAAAATATGGGGGTGACAGTGAATTGGCTTCTGTGTCACAATATAACGCTTTGAGCACCCTAATAAAACCATGAAACCTACATCCCGCAACCATATTAACACAAAACAAACACGTTCAAGATCACACAAGTTATTTGCATCTATCCTTTGATGACCTTTTTGTATTCTATCAACAAAACGGTATTTACGCTACCTCAAAGCTTTGTGATGAGCTTCCCTCTGGCATTGGTGCAATTCATTCAACATTGTGAAAATTATAATTTCATGCCTACTGATGATTTGGTGAGAGCAGACATCAGGATGGCTCATTTTGCAGGATTTTTCTTCACATAAGCCCCTTTCAAATCATAAATCCAGAGTACTCTCTTTGAAGACTCAAAACTGTGAAATCATCACTTTTTCATGTATGGTTTACCCCTCCAACTAGTTCACCAATACTGAAATGGAGTGTGACTTTGTGCACTGATAAAAGGAAGACATTTTAGCCTAAATTGAGCTTTGATTCAAAGTAGCTCCCCACTTTGAATTCTGGAACCAGAAAATGCGTCCCCGCTCCGCTCAAGGAGAATCCCTCAGGGTATTATCAATGCCTGAGATCCTTAAGTCCGTTAGAGTTGTAGTGAAGGAAAATGAGGTTACAGAGGAGAGTCTCCTGCTGGATTGTTTATTTACACAAATGCACAGTTCAACTAAAATCTCTACATTCATGGAAAGGACTTGTCCATTCTCTCACACATAACTCACAGCTTTCAATTTTTTCTTTCTGTAAATACCTGTATGCAGTGCAGTAGATCTGTATGGTAGTAGCGGTCATGGTGAGCGTTGGCAGCAGCTAGCGTTAGCAAGTAGTCATTCCTGGCTTGTGTCGCCTTGGAGTTACAGTCACTTCTCTTAGCTTTCAACTGAAACCAAAGAGAGACAGACAATATTGTAATACTGCATTACAGAAAGAGAGTGGAGCTTTAAGGTTTAAGTGGAGTACACAAGACTCTTTTTAGGTTCCGAACAAAGTGAAATCATTTTTGTTTTTGGTTAAAAGAGTCTCCTTGAAAGCTCTGCCTTTAGAAGAGGTGATGTGTCTGTGTCTTTGTGAGTGAGCCTCTTACCTTTACACTTGCTTTCTGTAAACTAATTCTTGACTGAAAAAGACCCAGTTTAGACCTGAAAAAGAAACAACAGCAAGCAAAGAAGTTAATCTGAAAAAACATATAAGCATATTGTTTTATTTTTTTGACAACCACGTTGACATTAGATTCATTCACATTGATGGATTAATAAAACATATTAACAATAAGGTAAGATAGAGAGGAGAAACAGATAGAGGCATTTCCCCAATGTAATAACTCTGATCTCTAACCTCTGATTCAGAGCAGTCGTCATAAATTGACCATGAACAGGCTGCGGGTTGACACCAATAAATCTCAACCTGATCCAGCAATCATGATTTATCTATATCGATGGTGACATTAGAAAGACCCGCCTGATAAAAATGATAGAGTGAGGCCGTATGCATGCATGTGTGTGTGTTTGCATTAGGTCTGCTCTTCTGTTCTACTGTGTTTACATGAATGAAAACAGACCATGTGTATTATACGGTATTATCTCTGACACAAATAGACAGAAAATGCATTATGGCTGTGTGATAATGTCTGTCACTTACTTAAACTGTATTTGTGATGTGTTCCTATGTGATGTGTGTAGTGTGTGTAGTGTCTCCGCATCACACCATTCTCCTTCTATGTGTTCCTTCAATGGCTAATAGCTATTTTTGCCCTACTGAAACACAGACACACACAGACACACACAGAAGCACACAGACACACACACACACACACACACAAACACACACACACACACAGTGGCACAGAGGCGATGCAGCAGTAATTCCTGTGGCTTTGACTTTCTACTGAGTGATAGAGACCAGAGCAGAGTTGACTGGCCAATCGATGCAATGAAGTGAAAATGTCACCATAGCCAGTGCTACCTTGGGCCAGGAGGAAAACAACACTGGATCAAACTTTAATACTAACTGCGACACTACAAAGCTCCAAAATGTTGAACTCTTACAGTAGAAACTCTGCCCCTCAGTTGTCTATTTATTTGAAAGCCTCTTCAGCTTACAATGTTATAAAAAGCAAAATAATAAATCTGCCTTGAAAACAAGAGAGAAAACCTTTTATATCTGGTAGAGCTATTATCTGTCCAACAAAGGAAAAAAGCAGAAACAAAATGTGCTTTAAATATCCATAGACATGATTGTGGTTTAGTTTATTGGTTGGATTCACTCCAACAAATATGCAACCACAAAAGTTTACCAAACTAAGATTCTTTACGTATGCACTTGTGGTGTTTGTCTGCATTTTCTTTGTCTGTCTTTCTCTCATAAAGCCTTAATGATGATGCTTCTCCTTCTCGCTCTCTCTCAATCTCTCACTTTGTCACATACATACACACACTAGTGTCACTTTTGGGGAAAATACATAGACTTACATTCATTTCCTTTACCTTAATCTAATCCTTATCCTAACCACTGACCCAAAAATCAGCCTTTTCCCACTTAGGGACATGGCTTTTTTTCCCAAAGCTCTCTCTCTCTCTCTCTCTCTCTCTCTCTCTCTCTCTCTTTGTGTTTCTCACAATCTATTTTATTNGATGCTTCTCCTTCTCGCTCTCTCTCAATCTCTCACTTTGTCACATACATACACACACTAGTGTCACTTTTGGGGAAAATACATAGACTTACATTCATTTCCTTTACCTTAATCTAATCCTTATCCTAACCACTGACCCAAAAATCAGCCTTTTCCCACTTACATGGCTTTTTTTCCCAAAGCTCTCTCTCTCTCTCTCTCTCTCTCTCTCTCTCTCTCTCTCTGAGGGTAACCAACTTTGTTTTCTTGGTATTTTTTCTGACAATGGACACCATTTGTTGATTCATAGCATATTGATTTTTACTCACATCCTCACCAACACACACACATGTGCACAGTGCCATGGGGAACTTACTTTGCCTCTATGTCGGCCTTCTCTCGTACAGCGTGGGCAACCTGCTCACAGTCGTAGTATTTTTTCTTGGCTTTGGCCAGCTCCTTTACCGACTCCTGCAGCTCTGCCTGAATGCCACTCAACTGATCTATGGTCTGTGAAGGGAAATTGGAAGACAGGCAAGTTGTTAAAGAAAGGGTGTGAGAACATGGAAGGATGTTGTAGAGAGGGATAAAGAACAGAGATTGCCTCAGAAAACACTGACCATCTCCCACTGTTCACAACATTCACTGACCTTTTTGAGTTGCTGTTCCTTGTAGAGTCTAACAGTCTTAGCGGGATCTGATACTTGACTCTTGTAATTGTCACACACGTTGAGCCTGGACTGGCTCACCTGCACTGTACCCTCTAAGTAGGACCTCCACACTGCATACACATTCCTAGTTGGAGAGAAAAAGCACAACAACACTGCTCAGTTGCTGTTCTATAACTCATAGTCCCTAGAGCAATTGGTTAATAAAATCACTGAGTTTTCCTGCAGAGTGGCTACATTTTTAAAATCCCCATGCAAGTGTGTGGCTACCAATGTGAGAAAGAAAGAAATTATATGCACTTGCACCAGAAAGAAAATTTGTGGAAAATTCTGCTGTAGTTGCAAGAGTCAGTTCCCTCATTTCTGGCTTTCATAATAACCAACCAAAGGACGTAGTGGGGTCATTCAGAAGATGTGATCAGAAGTAGATTGTTGCCCCTAGCTTAATGGAAATATGGTTGTACACACATAAACCTACCGATAGTCTGTTCTCTGGTCATCAGGGTTGATTCCAGGCCAGTCTCTCTTTAGGTACTGACTTGCTAACTTCTGCAGAGCCTGAAAGCAGAAGAGTAAAAATAAAGCATTGAGAATAATTAAAGTTAGAGTATCTGAATATAGAATCCATGCCAAATCCCTGGAGAAGACGCCTTTTGATGCTATCAGAAAACATGAGTTCTCCTTTTGCAATGAAAAACCTGAAAATTATCGTTTATGAGGCTGAATACTGCAGAATGGATTCTGACTCAACTTGTTTGCACTCTGTCCAAAATACAGACTGCCTGAGACAAGAGAAAATGATGTCTACTGCTCCCAGTTCATGGGGTATACAAACACATTAAAATATTTTACTTGACTGGCACACATTTACTAATGACTGATAATATTATGTAAGAAAATAAGAGAAAAGGTGGAGGCGAGAGCGAGACAGCGTGAAGCTTCATCGAGTCAAATATTTTCCTTTTTAGTAGGAGTAGACATCAGGACTGGAGTGCATTATTTAATGTGTTTATACCATGACCCAACCAGAGTGACCACAAGTGCTTTTCCAGGCCATGGCATTAAGTATTTTAATTACAAGAATGCATGCAGAGATTTTAAGAATCTGTTGCAACACTGGTCCAAGTCTTTCAAAACGTAACCTTTGTTGGCACAGATAAAGCCATTGGAGCTCTTTTAGAGGACTGAGATTAAGGAAAAGGTTTAGTAGAATTTACTTTGCATACTGCACATATTTTACAGTTCACTTTGGGAGGTAAGAAGATGCACTTAGATCAAGACGGACAATATCCCATGTCACTCCTCTGAGTGTGAACAGCTCTACATTGGCTGATTTGGACTTCATTTTCTTCTTTGTTTTGTGTTCTGCAGTTATATTGTATTTCTATTTCAAGCTCACAGCCAAAATACTGACTTTTACACTCAGTAAACAATACCACTATAAAATGGACCAGCTCTGTGTCAGCAAGAGTGAATCCCCAGTCAGCTCCAGTGTGTACGAGCAGAAACCCGAGGGCCCTGCAAGAAAGGGTAACCTACATCTTCTGGACTGGGTTACTGTGTCAGTGGCGACAACTCTGCCCTTGTGTGCCTGTGTATCTGGGTGAGTGCATGTGTGTGTGTGTGTGTGTGTGTGTGTGTGTGTGTGTGTGTGTGTGTGTATATCGGAGAGCAAATCCTCATTAATAAAACAAAGCAGAACAACAACAGCAACCCAATCAGGACCAACAGATCTTAGGGACATACTACTCTGCATGTAAATCTGATGCCAATTCTGTTCACAAATCTCCTCCTCTGTCTCCCAATCACCCATTCTCCGTTTTATGTTCTCTCTCCATCTCCATATTTCACTTTCCATTTCTGACATAAGGTTTCTCACAGGTTGATTTTGCAAATGTAACACTGTCGCTCCCTCATCCCCATAACCCAAACATTAATTTCCACATATCTTCATCCTCCTGCCACTCTCCCCATCTCTCATGTCAAGCTGTTTGGTTGTGTCTGTTTTTACATTTCCAATCCTCTCTCTCACTCATTGAATCACCTATCTCTCTCTCTCATCTTATCTCTGAAATTTGGTTCCCTCTAGCAAACACACAAGACTGTGTCCTGAGGGAGACAATGGCCCCCGTGACCCCTGGCTTCCACCATCTAAATCCTCTAGAAGAAAAGAGAGCCTTCTTCTAGAAAAGAAAAATCTCACCCCATTACCTCTGCAGTTGGGTGAATTAGCAGCAAACGGAAAGCATATTTTGAAGTAAATTAAGTGCGAAGGGCGTCATACTGTGTCAGAGCTGCTATTAAGTGAAGAGTGGTCAAGTAGTCCAGGTTCTTTTTGGTCCATTTTTGCTGACTTTCTATGCATTCAATTTTTGTCTTTGTTTAATACCTTTTAAATTGACTTGCCCCACATGCATGGTATCCTTTTTTCACCACAAACTCAGTTATAATTTTGACTAATCATTTTTGTAAAATCATTGTCTAATCATTTTTTATAAATTATTACATTATAAAAACATAAATAATTATTACTATTTAAGAAAAGTGCTTACAGGATGTATCAAAAAAGTTTTTGACTATACAAACTGACTTATGTGAGTTAAAACATAGTTAGAAATTGGTTACCACTTCTTCCTGTAAGCTAACTGTATAGGTTACCTCAGGAATTGGTGACAGAGCATCAGCCTCATTTATAGTACATTAAGCTACAGTGAGAGCTGTAAGTGCCAGAAAAAATATGAGATGAAGTAAATTCACACTTACACATGTTCACACATGGACACACACACAAAGAAAACCTATGGCACAAAAAACTGCACAGTCTAATGTATGCGGAAACACATTTTATTGTAAGAATAGTCAACTTCTCTTTCTGTCACTCTCTAGGGAAGGGTGGAGTGGGTGTGGATGGTTTTGATGAAAGACTGTGAGACTCTGTGTGTGTGTGTGTGTGTGTGTGTGTGTGGGTGTGTGTGTGTGTGGGTGTGTGTGTGTGTGGGTGTGTGTGTGTGTGGGTGTGTGTGTGTGTGGGTGTGTGTGTGTGTGGGTGTGTGTGTGTGTGGGTGTGTGTGTGTGTGGGTGTGTGTGTGTGTGGGTGTGTGTGTGTGTGGGTGTGTGTGTGTGTGGGTGTGTGTGTGTGTGGGTGTGTGTGTGTGTGGGTGTGTGTGTGTGTGGGTGTGTGTGTGTGTGGGTGTGTGTGTGTGTGGGTGTGTGTGTGTGTGGGTGTGTGTGTGTGTGGGTGTGTGTGTGTGTGGGTGTGTGTGTGTGTGGGTGTGTGTGTGTGTGGGTGTGTGTGTGTGTGGGTGTGTGTGTGTGTGGGTGTGTGTGTGTGTGGGTGTGTGTGTGTGTGGGTGTGTGTGTGTGTGGGTGTGTGTGTGTGTGGGTGTGTGTGTGTGTGGGTGTGTGTGTGTGTGGGTGTGTGTGTGTGTGGGTGTGTGTGTGTGTGTGTGTGTGTGTGAGAAAAAGAAACTGTGTGTGAAGGAGGCCTGGAGAAACATACAACATTAACATTGCAACAGAAATACCAGGGATGTAATTGCCTTCCTGCTGTGTAAACATGGATCATTTTTATGTGTTGTATGTATAAACTATATGTGTGCATTTGTGTGTGTGTAAGTGAGGACAGTGATAGACAGCTAAGAAAGCTACTGACTGTGACCTGGCAGACTGACAGGTGGACTGATTTGACAGCTTGACTTCAGCACCACAATGCTCCTTACTGATTTAAATCTCTTGTAAGGGTTCACATTGTTACTCAAATCCCAGACACATAAAACCTGCTGCAGCATAGGTGATGTTACTACCTACACTTTTATGAAAAAACAGACAAAACGTGATACATAGTGCACTGTTCTTCACAGAATTAGATTCTATTTGTGGCAGTAGCTGACAGCTGCTTTCTTAAAATAATACCTGATACATGGTAAACATTTTAATGCAAATATTTTAATTAGGTAGTTTGTGGCAAATAAATTACTGAACAATACATAGAGCTCCATTGCTTCATGTGGTGTCAAACAAAAAGTGACCTTTTCTGACTGGGGTCAGTTTGGTGAGGGTTGATTATTTATTGTGATTGGCTAGTGAACCCAGTCCTGGCACTCGCATGCACACCCAGGCATGCAGAGAGAGCTGGTAAAAAGACAGACAGGGACAGTCAACTTTTCACGGCCCACCAGCCTACCGATGCAATGGGATTTCTCCCGGTGCTCCCAATGCCCAGTCCGAGAGAGAGAGAGAGAGAG